TTTATTTTGTTATGAAGGAACACTACATATATATATTATAATGCCAAAAATTCTCAAATAATAAATATTTAGCTCATGACCATAAACCAATCGAAGGAGAAAGAATTTTTGATAACTTATGGGTTTGATGTAAATAAATGTTATCGCATGTAAGATTGCATATCCACAAACATAAATAAGAAGTTTTATTTTTAAATAATTGTTTAGCTATCAATTGATCATTTTGATAAATAATTTTGCTAAACTTTTATGAGTATGAACATAAGCAATAGGTTATTCAACCGTTATTCTAATAAATAATCATTTAATACCTAGAAGATAAATTCATTAGCATTATTAAGGTGAATTATTTTAATGGCATAATCAAGAAATTATACTTGTAATTGAATTATTTAGGCTAGCAATCCGTAAAACGTTAGGTTTTGAATAGATAGTAAACATACATGTGATCATTTTATGGATGCATCTATTAAAATCATAAAATATCTAAATGGTTCACATGGTGAATAATTTGATCCATACATATCATCTTGAATACATTCTAAAAATACTAGAGATTCAATCTTAATTTTAATTGATGTTGCCTTGATAATCAATTTGCCTTAGGAACATGTAGAACACGAAAAATCATTAAATTGAAAATTTTTTTGGCTCTTCAATAGATATCCATGTGAATTTTTAATTTTTTTTTTGTTTACATCATGAAAGACCCAAGATAAAACCATTGGTCATGTCATATAATAAAATTTTTTGAATTAGTAAACTTTTGATTTACTATAACATTTGTTTCGACTCATTCAAATGTTTGTAATAAAGACCAAAAGAAAAAATGGATAAATTTTTTTCAATACTTATTTTCTACTTGATATAATAATTAAAATATATAAGTATTTAATATTTTCACATTTGCTATATTGATATGATATCAATTTAGATGAATATCTTTAGAACTCAATAAATTTTTATGAGACTTTAGAGAAAATAGTACATCCTTTATATCAAAATTTATCCTTTCGTACAATAACGTATTTGTCATTCTCAACCTTTAAATTATATTACTTCAAGTAATAATATATCCATTCTTCTAGAGCCTTTAAAAGTTATCTATTCAAGTAATATATTCGTTGTTTTAGAGCTTCAAAAATTTATCTCTTCGAGTAATAATATAATCGCTCTTCGAAGCTTTCCGTTAGATTGATATTATCATATATAATATTAACATAAAAATAAATAAATAATAAATATATATATTCTTTATAAACATGGATAAATAAATAGTAAATAAATTTATATATATCTCTATGTAATAAAAAATATAAGAAAATATAAAATATCTTATTTGTAAATAAAAAAAGCTAACAAGTTATTAATTTTAATTACCACCTTTTTAATATATAAAATTGGGCTCGTATTTCACTCTTTCTTTTTCAATGAGGGTTGATAAGGCTCAATGAGGTGTTTTGGTATATAACAAGTACTCGACTAATGTCCATTTATGCCACAGCTATAACATTCATTTTCGGACTATTGACTTGAACCATTTTTTTTCTTTTTTTTCATAGTTTGTCCATTTTTGATGATGAGATATATTATTATAGTCATCACGATTATAATAATAATTATTCCAACTACGTTCATAGCTATGGTTATGCCTTCGTTCATGTCCAAAAATATTATAAGTCGTCACATTCACTTTAGAGAATGAAGTAGATCTAGTTGGACGAGATTTATTCCTTTTCATTAATACCTTGTTATTTTACTTAACCATGAGCAAGTATGAAATCAATTCGAACATTTCTTAAACTCATTTTCTCGATATGCTACTACGGGAACATGTTTGAGACATGAAAAGTAGATAATATTTGCTCAGCATTAAGCACTCATGATTAATAATTCTTATCCAAAATGTCAAGGGTCACAAAATCAAGTTTTGTGAGGTCTAATATCATAAAACTTCTATAATGCAAACTATAATAATAATATTAGACAATAAAAACAAAATATAATAATAAAATTTAAACTTTTCAAATAATATATATTAGATCATTAGATTCTATATATTAAATTATTTAACTTTTTCAAATATATACTCTATGTATTATTAGATTTAAAGTATATAATAAATTAGATACATACTTCTTAATGATCTAAACAATTTAAATCTTTTAGCGAGTACTCGTGTAGAGAAACAATTCAATGATTGAAACAAATAATTGAGTTTTTTGATAGATACATACCTCATGATCTATTATCTCGATTAATTAGAGCTTCGTGTTGATAACGTGTTAAAAAAGAAATAGTAACAATAGTAGAATTGAAGAGAAAGATTATAGAAAAATGAATTCACTATAAAATGAAGTGAAAACAAGAGATAACAACTCCAAATAAACTCTCAACATCTACAAAATACTTATACACAAACTAATAAACAATCAAGCCTACTTATAGGTTTCAATAAACAATCAAGTGTATTTATAGGCTTTAAGATTAGAAAGAAAATTAAAAAGAACTATAAACTATTAAAATATATATAAATAATTGAATAAATTATATCATTTTTTTAATTTTTCATATTAATCATAAATTAACGTTAATTATTTCATAACAATATTTGGTTTTTCATTCAGTTTAGAAGAATTTTACCTTTTAGCCCAAGTTAAATTCCGAGTGCAGCTCTCTTTTTCCTTCTGTTTTTTTACCACAGCCTCCCTTTGCCAAAGTCGTCAAAGAAAAGGTACAGTAACTTACAAAACCCTCTCTGCTAAGTTATACCCTTCTCTACTTTCCACTCACTGCAAGTACGTATCTTTGTATAACCATGCCCCTATATATCTATCGTGCATAAAATTACTCGAGGCGGAGGAAGGCAATGTAAGTTGTCTTTCTCTTCTGGCTAACAGAGCCTCTGGGTTGACTCTACAGTTCTGACTTCAAGAGTCGATCAAAACCCAAGAAAGAGAAACATCAGGGAGGGTCCTTTGTTATTGGATGCTGTTGATTTCTATAGATCTTCTGATAATCATGTAATGTTGTTTTATTTTATTTTTTCATATCTGTCATGGTTCAGTATTTATTTGAGTTTTTATGTTGTGTGTGTGTTAATTTGGTTTTGATTGAGTTTGTTTCTAATTTCAGCTATTTGGTTTTGTTGCTGGATTTGATTTGGATATAGTTTCTAAGTGATTTTTATCTTATGATCAGTCAGTCACTCTATTGTGCTCTCGGGTTAGTGTTTTTGTTCATGTATGTGCCGCTGAGTGCTGAGTACTTAAATGGTGATTTTATTTGTTTGTGATTGTGTTTGGTAGGTTAAAGTTAATGGGTTTTAGTTATTGGATTGGAAAGAATGGACCTTGATGAATAATCAAGAGGTATATTTGTAAGAGCAACTGTCATGAAAGAATAATAAGTGAAAAAGCTTGTAAATATAGTAGCAGAGCGATAAATCTGGCAACATATTGAGGTTTCATGACTGTAAATAATAATAGTGTAGGCAACTCACAGTTGGCAGAAATATTAAGCATACAAAAAAATACATCTTGCTTCTTCAGTATAGTTTACAAAGCTGGTTTCACACTGGAGTACTTTGGAACGTAGTAGATTATCAGAAGCTCCTGTAATTTACAAGTAGCTTGACAGTTTGAAAGCCCTTTTTCATGGTGAATTGAACTTGAAGGCCAATGAAGATTCTAAGTTTGTAAATAGAGTAGCACTCCTTGTTATTTTGACACCAACGGAGCTTTGTTTATGTCATGCTATTAGAATTTATACCGAATCGCATGATTTTGAATGTAACTTTGTTTCTTTTTTTAGCTTCTTCTAGAATGCGAAATTAATCCCACCGGCCACCAGACACTAACATAACATGGTTTGTTGTATTTATAGGGGGAATATCTAAATCACAAAATAAGGTAATCAATCGAAGGGTCTGATACTCCTTCCGATATTTGGAGACCTTTTTTATTTCATATAAATCAAACCAAACAAAAAAACATTGCTGAATATGTTACTTCTCAAGTCAAGAGTAGGTGAGGTCCTTTTCAGTAGAGCTATCATTTTACCCAGTTCTATCAGATATCTGACCAACCTGCTCATAATTTGTTGGTAACAATACAATACAGTGAGAATTTTAGGAGGGGATGTTAGGGTTTCAATCAGTCTAGGTTTATGAATTTCTAATTAGTGTTAGGTGTGGTTTCATTTGCTTGAAATGTCAAAGCAATAGACCAGACCTAGGTTTCTCTGCACTTGTCTCTTTTTGTAATTCACTAGTGTGTTTCTCGTTACTCTTATGCCACCACCAGTGTCAGTGTAATTAGTCTTTAACCAGCCATTGCTTATTTTGCTCCCACAAGCTGTATTTTAGACAGCCGAAAGCAATACTCAGTTGGAACCTTCTTTTTTTATATTGATTTTTCTTTTCTCTCATCCTTATCATAAAGCTAGGAACTTTCTTTTTACCTGAAACATAGTTTATTGGATTAGGGGATGGCAGATATAATGTTTAGATAGGGTGAACTTTCAGTCTTTTCAATTTGCTGTTCTATTCTTTGTACTGTAACCTACATCCTTATTCACACCATGTGCACATTGGTGCTAAATTTTGTAGTTTATGATTGTTGCTTTGCATACCCCACAAACACACAGGCACTGCAATCTTTTTGCTTATGATTGCTGCTTTGCACACACGACACCGACAGGGGTGCTACACCTATAAATTTCTGCTTATACTTTGATTGCCTCTTATTTGTACAATTTTTTATTATGTGCAGATTCCAAAATTTCAGTTTATGATTAGTGCTTGAAGGGTCTTTGAGGCGTGAAATACTCCAAGACGCCTTTGCCAGCACATTCATTTCATTGGAAAGGGTATCGACATTTCCAACTGTGTAGGAACTAGTGCCTCCATCTGCTATGTCTTTTTCTGCTTTATCCATAATGCCAGTCTTACACTTAAGTTTTTTTACTGTTTCTCCAGCATTATTACTCAACGAACAACAATGAATGCCTATGGTGTTTTGGAGCCTACGCTTAATGATATACTTAATGGGATTCAACCTTCACGTGAGGATTGGGTGGTGCGATTTAAAATCATTGAAGAATTAGACAAGGTTGTTAAATCTGTTGAAAGTCTGAGAGGTAATTTTGCCGTATCTTGTGGTTTTGCTTCAAATGCATCCCGGGAAATGCAAATTTCTTTCCTGCATTCCTTAAGTTCTATTGGAGATTAATTTAATAAATAATGGCACAAAAACAGTAGCATCTCATAAAATCCTGAAAATGATCCTCGGAAACACAATAGTGAAACTACATGAATCTGAGGAATTAACATTTTTAATTTAAAATTGACCAACTGCTTTATGCTATTTTTTGAAACTTAAGATGCCGAGTATGCCTAATTAGAATGCCTTTTCTCTTCATCTATGATTCTTTTACCCAGAATGTAATTCAAGTATTACATCAATCAATTAATGTGAATTTCTTGATGGCTTGAACTTTGCTTAAGGTATTTGAGATTCCATTGTGATAGTTGCAAATGTGTTTCTGTCACAATAAAACTGCAATACTTATAAAAATGCTGAGAATCGAGTTCTTAAAACATGCATCAAGTTTTATTATCTTGTTCTTTTGCTGCCCATTTGTTTTTTCTATTGTTAACTTGACACAAAGTGTTTTTTGCTTTCCATATGTTATTGTTTTTGGGTCAACAATGTGGATGCATGACTTTATGTGTGCCAACAGGTGCAACTGTAGAGCCATTTGGATCATTTGTGTCAAATCTCTTCACTCGATGGGGAGATTTGGATATCTCCATTGTATTATCTAATGGTTCTCATATTTCATCTGCTGGAAAGAAGCGCAAAAAGAATTTACTTGAAGATGTTCTGAAAGCATTGAGACAGAAAGGTGAGTTATTACATGGTTTTCCCTCAGGTTTCATGATATATGCTCACTTCCTGTAGATATTCTTGAGCAATCTATAATATCCATATCACCATGTTCCCTATTTTACAACTTGCAATAAAAAAAGAAACCAATGTTTTTGATTTTCCTGCATTTAAGTCTCTTTGAGAGTTGTTTTTTTAAGACAGTTATCAGACTTTTGCGTTGTTTTAATGCTTGTTTCTCCTGCAAAAAATTGAAGATAATAGCCAGAAACTTTGGCTCATGGAGCATGTCATGTCGTTTTGATTTACCATTTGTTGTGAATAATTGACTTAGCCAAAAAACTTACATCAGAAACTTCAGTTATTATATTTTATTTGGCTTGCTGAATCTGCCTGCTGAAAGCGAGCTAATTTATTAATCAAATATCCCCATTTTTTGTGTATTCTTTTTAAGGAGAGATGAAGAGTTGTTTGGGGAGTAAATTGCTGCTCTTAGTTGTTAGTTTGTTCTTTTACTACAACATCACCTTTTTATTTCATTACAACTTACAAATTTGGTATGCAGGTGAATGGCACAGGTTGCAATTTATCCCAAATGCAAGGGTTCCCATTTTAAAATTTGAGAATGCTCGCATCTCTTGCGACGTTTCAATTGATAACATCCAAGGTTTAATGAAGTCCAAATTCCTTTTTTGGATCAATGAGATAGATAGGCGTTTTCGTGATATGGTCTTACTGGTACATTCTCTGAGCCGAATAAATAAATAAATATCCTGGGAAACTAGAACATCTATTTGATGCAATTTATTGTTTGTGCAGGTCAAGGAATGGGCCAACGCCCACAACATAAATAATCCAAAGAATGGGTCATTGAACTCGTACTCTCTCAGTTTGCTTGTCATATTCCATTTTCAGGTGATCAGTTATCTTTATATGCATAAAACATTGTAAGAATAGTTGGAATTAAATGTGTACATCCTTACCACGGTAGCTTCTTCAACACATTTTTAATGAATGTCACTGACCTGTTTTGCTAGAAATAGGTGTTAGCTGTTTTAAAAGTTCTGCAACTTCTTCCAAATGATCCTCATTAATTTATTTTTCCGACATTGTTTTGTTATCTTGGTTATTTTCCGTGCCCCCTTTTGCAATGTCAAGTGCTACTTCCCCTGAACATCTGTTTAGCATAGTTACAAAAAGGAGGCATTTGATGTGAGGATACTTGAATAGATAAGATCTTCTGGCCTTTGTATCTGTATTTCTTTTGTTCTTTCATTCTTTCATGTTCATTGGTCTCCTCGATATCAAGTATGCAGGTTACCTCTGTGTTTTGCTGGATTTATTTCTTTCGAGCTGTAAGAATTTCGATCTTATAAGTTCTGTTCTGTTTACATTTTTCCTTGCAGACTTGTGTACCTGCCATTTTACCTCCTCTTAAAGAAATATACCCTAGAAATGTTGTTGATGATCTTACAGGTACTTTTTATGTTTAATCTAAATAAGCTCACAAAATAAGCCTAAACTTATTGCACTCTAGAGTACTTTTCATGTTTAATCTAAATAAGCCTAGACTTATTGCACTCTTTTCTAGAAATATTAATTTTTCCTGCTTGTATTTGATCGTAAATTTACTGATGAGTCTGGAATTTAAGTCTGGGATTTAATTAGTGAATTTCCACACTCAAATGCCAACTGTCTGTCTGTCTGTCTGTCTGTTTTTTTTGTGGGGGGGGGGGGGGGGGGTGTGGTTTGGGTAGATGGGTGCGGGTTTGCACTCCCATGCATTGTGGATTTGCACTAGTCCGAATTTTACCCTCAGAGATCAGTGCCTTTCTGGTAGTACTCCTAAAGAGATGGTTTGAGGAAGTCATCTGGTTCCCAGAGGAGCCACAATTGTTGATGTCACCCTAGCATCCACTGCACATAGCATGGATGCTGATATCATATTGTATAAAAGATTCCCCACTATCCATACTGCCTTTTGGTTTTTAGTTTTATTCGATACTGAGAAAATTTTCAATATTTCACAGTTACAAAACTTATAGTCTTCAATTTATTTCAAGTTAAGATCCATGTGGCATGGTTGTTTGTGCTAAGTTACAGTGTCTTATGATTTCTGGGAAGTAAATTTGAGTTATTAGCTAGTAGATAAACTCCAACTTGTCTTACTGTATTTAACCATGATTTGAAACGAGTTCTTTTTCATAAAATAGTTTTCATTTGGTAAATGCTTCGAAGTCTGGAGAACAATCTGTCTAGGCATTGAGTGAATTGAGCTGATCTTGACATTTCTTGACATGGCTCAAAACATGAGAAAATGTCTTTTGATCGTACCAGTCTGTTTTTCATAGTTTTGACAATGTTTTTATGTATGTACTATTTTCACTTGGAGCTCATCTCATCTTGAAGTTTTTGCAAAATGGCAGTTTCAAATTACAATTATTTTTGGACAAATAACATATGATTTGCGTTGCATAAAACTGATCTGTTCTTCTGCAAGCATCAACAGTGATTAGTAGCTTTGTTGAAGTATCTCTCTGACATGTATTCCAATATTCCAATATTTTTTTGTAGGTGTGAGGGCTGATGCAGAGAGAAATATTGGAGAAATATGTGCTGCTAATATATCTAGATATAGATCAAACAAATTCGGAGCAGTTAATCAAAGTTCTTTGTCTGAGCTTTTCATTTCATTCCTTGCAAAGGTAATAATTCTTGTGTCGTCGTAAATTTTAGTTTACAATTCAATTTGCCAAGTAGCTAGTTCCAGTGATTGTAGTACATGATGACAGTTGTGTTGACTTGTGTGAGTGCTGGTTTATATCTAGCTGGCCTGTGTTTGTATGTTTTCAAGTGTGATTATGATGCAATAATGAACTTGACCCGTGGAATATGGATACAATTTGTTGAAATGTCTGTTATAAGAGTAGGCTTTTCAAAGTTCAAATTGCTCCCCATTTCATAGGGGAGCTGGCCTTGCATCCGTATTTTTATTGATATACTCTAGCTATTTTTGTATATTTGCAGTTCTGTGATATAGCTTCAAAGACTGCAGAGGTAGGAATTTGTCCATATACGGGGCAGTGGGAAGAAATCAGAAGCAACACGAGATGGTTGCCCAGAACTTATGCATTATTTGTAATCCTCTATCTCTTCCTTCAACCACCCTCCCAAGAAAAAGAAATGAAATGAAATGAAGCTAAACTAGTGATAGCGATGTTATATTCGCTGCTGCTGATTGCTGACTCTCTTGCTATTGCTCATGTTTTAGATTGAGGATCCATTTGAGCAGCCAGAAAATACTGCAAGAGCTGTTAGTGCTGGAAACCTGATGAAGATATCAGAAGCTATTCAGACAACCTATCATAGACTTGTCTCGCGTAATCAGAATCAGATTTCTCTTCTGGACACGTTAGTCAGGCCAAAAATTGCACGATTTATTGCAGGAACACCAGTTGGGAACTCAAGCTATACTGCTGGCCATCCTGTTAGAACTCCAGTTGGGAACTCAAGCTACCATCTTACGACTCGTTCACAAAAAAGCAGGTCCGTGTATTCACCATCACAAGCACAGGTTCAAACCCTTAACACAAGACAGGAAACTCATCCCAACAATTCGGGCATGCAAAGAAAGGGAAGTCATCCAAGCAGTTCAAACAACCAAAGACAGAAAAATCATATAAACAATTTGACTAAGGAACGACATTTTCCGCATCATCTCAGCCAAGGGCAGCCAGTATGGAGGCCTAAATCTGATCAATAGAGTTTTCATCAGTTCTCATAGTGAGTTTCTACCAAGTTGTTGTGAAGAACATTGTCTTGTGCAGCTGTTTGAGCCTTTTAAAAGTAGTACTTTAGTGGTCTCTGGGTTATGTGGTTGAGGCCTAGTCACTGGATTTGTCTCACTGTTTGAATCCATCACCATCAGTATCAATCTCTGGAAAATATCTTGTTAGATTGTAGTTGCATGACTGCTTCTAGCATTTAATTGAGATGAGAGATGCCAAATCTTCTTTTTGTTGTTGGTGGTCTTGGAGGTCCAAATGGCTTCTAAAGGAGTTTCTATAGACATGAAAACTTTATTGAATCTAGAATACTACCAGAAGTGGACCGGAACATATTTTTCTAATGTTGGACTACCATTACACAAGCACGGACAACCTATCATAGATTAACCTACCATCGTACTGGTGGTTTTGTGTATTGCTTCAAGATTAACCTGATGATGGCGGCAGCAGCAGATGAGAGAGCTTGTGAGTCTCTATTATTATACAAGAAGCCAATAAATCTACACCAGGGCCCAAACGCGCTTCTTGATTTGTTGATCCACATATGGTTCTGTTTCATTTAACAGCGAAACTCCGAAGTTTTATACCAAAACACTGTTGACTATTTTTCATTCCTGCCAACGAAGGTATATAGACAACAGGTGGAAAGGCTATTGTCCAACCCCCTGAAATAATGTCAGCTACAGAACTTCAGGATGACCGTCAGGACTGGGATTTGAACAAAACAAAGAAAAAAAAAAGAGGAACCCAAAGTTTCTAAATTGTTTGCTTAATATCAAAGTAAACTCTAGCTTTAAACCCAAAATACGGATAGTTCGGACAAATTGAATTGAGTGGCAACACATTAATTAGAAGAAACTGACTTAACAACTATAAGAATATTCAATTAGGAAAAAAAAAGGGGACAAACAGAGAGTGAAAAGATTACAGGAGCAGCCTGGGAAGTGTGGTTGAGGCTCACTACCTTATTCGAAATTTCACCTTGCAAATGAGCGTCCACTTGCAATACAAGCATCACCATCTGATAAACATAACCTCTCAGGAGGTTTACAATTATTCCTCAAAGAGGCATATTCTGCTAGGTTTAATTGCAAAAATTGTTCTTATTCTATTATAATTTGACAATTTCAAGTTTTTTTTTTTATCAATTGACATAATTTAAACTCTAAAATATTAGTTTTTGAGTAAATATTTTTTTCAGTTATTTATAACGGTCAATGCAATTGATTATTAAGCAGAATGCTTAAATAATATCATTTAATATTAAAAAAAAATTCATCCATGTTTTAGTTTCAAACCACGGAGTAAAAATGAGATTTAACAGTCTTCAAGTATAGCCATAGGAGAATAACGCAAAATTAATTGCAGCACTCTCAATCCCAAATACCTCAAAGCGAATTAGATTATCAATTTCTCTAAGTGCTACTACTTGTACATTTCGAAGGTTCAAGAGAAGAGAACTGTGGTTTGAAATTTTTTAAAATGAACATACCTTGATGTAAATGATGCCTTTTCATCTATTTGACCATGACCTTCAACAAATCAGAGAAGAGACCGAAGGTGCATACCGCATTTTACCAGCGGTAAAGAAGACATCTTACCGGGTTTGGGATATGCGAGGATGAACTGTGGTTCTACGGAGCTTCGTTGTTGTTGTCAAGTGAAGAAAGGAAGAAGATCTTTGAGTCATACTTCCCTCTTAACGCTGAACAACATGAAGGAAATTCTCGTCTCTTGCAATTGATACACATCACATCGTGTATTTGGCATGTTTTAACACCCATTCCAGAGGAGCTCCTCTTGCTCACTTGAACCATGCTCTTGCTGACAAGTTCTTCCAAATATTCTTTGTCTATATCTTCCATCGTCTCATCTCCTTCTCCTTCCCCTTGCAACGGTTGCGGTACAAAGCCTTCAGCAATCCATAATCGAATTAATTCTTCCTTGTTTATCTCCCAATTATTTGGAAGCTGGGAAAGGCAAAGAAAGCATGATTTTTAAGCAAAAGGCAAATCATGATAGCTCAAAGCTAATATCTTACACACTCCTCCATAACTGTGTTGTTCCTGAAACTACATTAATTAAATGCTGATTCTCTTCAGCACTTTCTCCCATTCATCCAATGACTTCTTCGATGCCTACAGCCCTACAAGTACCAAAATTGCTAGGGGCAATCTTCCACATTTTCCCACTATCTTCGTCCCCAACTCCGCAAATTCTAGTGGGATGCTCCGCTCTTCTCTTGCAAAAGCTTTCTTTATTTGTCAAAAGTGGTAGTTTTATAGGAGAGCTCATTGGATCCGCATGCGAAGCGGCTCCTTGGACGCTTGTCGTTAATAAAACTTTGCTTCCCTCCTTCCCTTAGGCTTTAAACTAACACACACTTCATTTCTCCAAATATCATCAAGGACCACCAAGCATCGCTTCTCCTCTTACTCTTTTTCAAGTGTTTGAGTGAGCTTATTTTTGCCTTCTTTACAAACCAACATCCATCAGGATTCCAAGCAAAACATCCCTTAGTGAGAACTGTTGGGATATGAAAGCCCAAGAGTTACGGTTGTTGTTTTATGTCAATGTTGTATATTTTCTTGGCAAGAGTCGTTTTACCTGTTCCTACCATGCCCACTAGGGAAAGAACACGGAGTTGGTTGTCTTCTGACATCAACCTAGATTTTAGACCTTTTGCGATACTTTTACGCCGAAAATATGCTCTTGCTCATCATGTGGATACGATCTTCTCAATCTTCGTTTCATCTCATATGCAGATTATCCTCCTTTGGCATTATAAAGAAAAGCTGCTTCAGTGACCAGTAAGTCAGCAGTTCTTCTGATGGCAACGAAAATAATAGCCTCAGCATGATTTTTCAAGATGAGAAAAAGAACAAGTGAAAAAAATGTCTGCTGGATATCTTTTCCTTTGCACGGATTTAGCACGTTGGTAACGTTTTTTAAGGAATCGGCATTTCGAGGGTAACTAAAGCTGATTTGTTGATTCCTAGCTAAAATAAAGGCAAGGAATTTGGAGCAGGTTGGCAAGCGGAAAATTGGAAAGGAAACCAGGATCTACGCCCAAGTAAAGAAAAGGCATGGCAGGATTCTACACTGGAGAGCAATGGCTAAAGGGAAAGTTTAGCCTTTAGCATGGAACCGGTCCAGGATATGGGGCCGTACAGCAATTGCAGTATAGCCGCACAGCAATTGCGGTATGTTCATCACTGGAACGCATAGTGTCAAGAGCATCACATATCTCCACTGAATTTCTTCTTCGATTAACCATCTCAAAAAAATGAAACTAACTTAATGCTCATGACCCATCCTTGAGATTGCTAGCGTTCCATAATCTACAGGGAAATCTTCCCACTTCGTATCGTTAAGGGTATTTTTTTAACAATGAAAAACCCATCCTTAATATTTATTTTGATTGGGGCAACGCTAATTACACTGCTATTGGCATCCCTTTTTTCCATGCAAAATGTGTTATGCTTTTGTCCATTTATTGAACTTAACCCCTCTGGCCCTACAACATTCGTTGATAATACAAAAAATTATAAAGGAAATTAATGCGGAACACGTTTCATCATATCAAAGAACTTGATGCTTCAATCAAGGAAAAGGTGATCACTAAACCATTCACATCAAGGACAAAATTGTTGAAAACAAAGACTGAAATTGGTAAAAGTACATCCATCATTCTTAGTCCATAAGATATTTAAACTTAGATTATAAAAAGTAAAATGACAGTCCCTACAAGACACTGCTACCTGCAAAAAGCTCGAGGAACTGCAAGAGGAAAAGAGGCAAAAATAACAGGCATTAGAACCGAGGTAAATGACCACAACAACGCATTACTGAAACTAAGCAAGCACTGATTAAGTCAGGGCATGAAAACAATGACAGGAATCAATATATGAGGGGTTATTGAGCCGGATTAGAAATGGAATAAAATGAATCCAAAAAAATATATATATATGGTATGAGCTGAGCTATATACAGTATCACACAAGACAGCAGTATCCTGAAAAGATATCCTTTTTTTTTCGAAAAAAAAAATTGAGATTAATATGCTGCTGGAAAGTGATGATTAAACAGTACAAGATTGATAAGACTCAGGTGACCAACTGAAAGACAAAAAAAAACTAGGGCCCTTTGATCATAGTATATTAATGTACATATGAGTAAAATGCCTACACTTACAATCCATCCATAGAGCAATACTGTACAACCCAGTAATAAGATCATGAAAAACACCAATTTGATGGAACAAAAGCACATTTTGACGGTTTTAGTGGACAATAAAGCCCCCAGTGTATTCAGGTTATCTTTTAACCCACTCTATCACTGCCCAAAAGGAAAGCATTTGCAATGAATAAGTATTGAAACATTAGAATCCATTTCCCAAAAAGCCAATAGATCCATAGAGAAAATCATTTTTCAAGATTCAATAGTAACTAAATCCAATCCTCAAAATATTCCCCATGAAACAACCGAAAGCAGCCAAAGTGTTATTTGGTCGGTTACCCTTCAAACTTTTACATTAGGACTCTGACCTTAAGAGGCAAAATTCAAATGAAAAATACAAAAGGAAAACAAAGCGTAAGTCTTATTACAACCATAAACAATCCTAATATACAAAGTACTCAAATTCATAAGAAGCTAAACCAGAACTACTAGTGGAGCTTAACGCATTCAAAGAGAGAAGTAATTATGATATAAAGTTAACTGTACCTTAAATGTTGCTGGGATACATGAAAACTCTCACACGAGATCCCTGCAAATGAAATACTGATTCAATACACAAGCCAAATTCCCAAAAGCAAAATGTATCAATCACAACAGCTATTTTTTAACAATACCATGGACTTCGGAGGCAAGTTGGACTTGAACTTAGCTCTGACAACACCACTGTTTCCATGAGGCCTTATAACCTTGCCCCAAATGCAGCGATAGTGGGATCCTTCCTTCTTCACCTTGGCCTTATAGATATATGCCATGCGCTTACCAGCATACCATGCTACTTCTTCCTTGGTGTTGATTCCCTCAATCTGGATCAGGGATGTGTTTGGATACTGGTTGGATTTCGACCTAACCACCAAAATAATATTTTAATCTCCAGACTAATCCACACAACAAAAACTAAATCCTCAATTCCATTTCCTGTGAAAAACAATATTCATTGTCTGAAACTAGGAATTTCAATGGATCTATCATTATCCTTGGCCTTAATTAATCAGTCAATTCAAATTGCTGCAAATATTGATATACTTCATTTCTGTAAAACCATACACGCTAAAACCACAAATCTTGAACTGTCACAGATAAAACTTCGTTGCTTATCTTTTGATAAAAAAAGAGAAAAACCGGTCAATAGAAACTAGCAAATGCCAACTTTCTTTTGCTAATAATATCAAATACGATGCCAATATTTCAATTAACACAATAAAATCAAACACGGTAGCTTTTAAATAACGAAACCCATGATCCAAATACCGCTAGAATTTCTTTTCTTATTCAAATTTCTCGGTAACCAAACAGAATCCATAAAATACAAATCACAAAAACACACAAATTAAAATAGTATAAACGTGAAGCTATAGTTATTACCTCTTATAACCCAAGATTGTTCCTCTGACATAAAGCCTAAGAAGCAAAACAACACAAGAGAGATAGATATTAAAAAATATATATTCATAAGCTTTAACATACAAGTTATACTTCAACATGAAAATTTTGATTATTTTCTTTTTTTCCAAAAAATTAAAGCGAAGAGCATGTAAGTCTAAATCGCAGACCTGACTCGCTCTCCTTGCCGTCCCTTCACCATTTTCCAACTCTGAGGCTACGCTCCCTCTCCAAAAGTGGGTTACACAGTGAAGCTGCGAGATAGAAACGTAAAACCCTAATTGCAGCTGTTTATATAAAGCGTAAACATTTAGTTGGGCCTTCGGACCAGAAATATCCTTTTAGGCTTATAGTGTCCTTTTTTAATGGGCTAAGGTTATTTTTTCTGTGGCCCGTAAAAATATCATTCACGTTTATTTTATATTTTTTTAAGAGAAAATCAAACTTTAAAGATATTGAAATAAAAAATATATATATATATATAAACTGCAATTAGAAAATCATGGTTTCTCAAAAAAAAAAAAAAAACATCATTTCTCGTCAAAAGTTTATTAAATGTATTTTTTCCAAATGCATAAAATGCCTATTTATTATTTCACTCTGTCACCTTATTTGCAAGGTTTTACAACATCAAAAGTATGCTACATATATATATATATATATATATATATATATATATATATATATATATATATATATATATATATATTTAATAAACTTTTGACGAGAAATGATGTTTTTTTTTTTTTTTTTTTTGAGAAACCATGATTTTCTAATTGCAGTTTATTGTAGGCCATTATTATAATATACTTACAGAAATGAAATACCCACACGATGACACAATGCATGGAGCAAAAATGTTTATATTTAATATGACTTTTGTAAATTAATTTTTTTTTTTAACTTTTAACGTAAAAAAGAAAAAAAAACTTAAGTGCGTTTGGTTAGAGATAATTTTTAATTTTTCGTTCAAAATTAAGTCAAAATTTTAATTTAATCGAAAGTTAAATCTTTTAAATTGTAGATTTTACTTTATACTACATTCCTTCGTCAAAAGAATTACTTGAATTCACTTTTACCCAATATATTTTTTAAAATTGCTAAGATTCATTTTTACCAAGCATACTTCTAACTCAAAAGTAATTTTAACTCATTTTTGTTATAAGTTGTTTACAAACAGCTTTTGAATTATGACTAAAGGCAAAGGTTACTAGTAGTGAATCATGCTAAACATACTAAATATATCAGCGTACGCTTCTAGATCCATATTTAGTAAAGAATAAACAATACAAATGCTTTTCACTTGAGAGAGTCGTCCGTACAATGTACATTCTGGTTTACAACAATTACATCAGACACAAATATAGCAGGCTCTCCTTTTTGGCAGGATGAACCAGTTACCACGTTCTGACATCAGGATCTGCACCCACAACAGGGTAAGCCCTCAAATGACAATGGGTGAAGTCAATGAATCTCAGCCATCCACTAGCCTAATTGCTACAGGATCAAAACAATTCTTCCTCCTTGAATTCCAACTTTTCCTAGCCATCGTTTTTTCTCCATTATCTCTTAGTAGTTGATCTGAACTTTACAGCTACCTCCAGAAAACACTGCTAGGTTTTTTTTCTCCATTCATTCAAGGGCGCAAAAGTCGTTTGTCACAAGTCAAGATCCTGTAACTTGCGTGAGGACCCTCAGATGTGTCACGCAAAGTTGCTTGCCAACCCATGGCTTTAGCTATCTGTAGAAGTTCATCCATGACATCAAGAGAGTCACGGATGTATACTCGACCGCCAGGTCTAAGTATGCGATCCATCTCAAGCATGATTGTTGACATATTACATCTGATTCGAAGAAATAAACCACACGAGAATAGGAGAAGTTAAGAGAAAAACTCCGGCTTAACCTCACTTATAAGATCTTGGGCAATTAAAAAACTGAGTGAGGAACAATGCATACCTTTTCCTTTCAACAGAAAAGAGTCCAGCTGCATGCAGCAAATCATAGGTTCTTGGGTACGTATCGAATGATTCACACCTGATAAATGAAACATCAAGTGCAGCAGAAGTTCATTCAACTAAGTTCAAGCAATATAAACAGGGAACGATCTTTTAAACAAAATCGAAACAACATTGCATGCATTTGTTATCAATGAGAGATAAACAATGGGAAAGGGGGAATTGTCAGGGGTACGCATCATTATTGTAATATCTTGAGCATTTAAGAGATCATCAATACAGTATCCAAAACGAGGATCCAATAAACTATATGCATTAGCCAATATGATGGTATAGAATAGTACCAATCGTGCATAACTCCCATGAGTCCACGGTCATATAAAACAGGCAAGGTGTTGGACCCGCTAACAGGAACCACATTCAAAGCCCAGCAATCAAATCCTTGATCAATTAATGCAGCCGCGAATCTAACAAATCAACAATCAATGCATAAATGTGACAAATTGAAATAACCTTTGTAATTGAGCAATGCAAGATGAGTTGAATTATAGGTACGATACCCTCCAAAGCCAGCTTTCATGTCCATTACATTTCTTAGTTTAAACTTCTTCCAATGCCAAGCACGGACATAGCCTGCTATTGTTTCAGACCAAAACTTATTTTCTGCCTTTAATAGCTCTTTTCTGGCTATGAATGACTCGTATTGTATGCTCTGGAGTCTATCAGGTGGAGTTTGCAAACGAGAAGGCCACATGGGAACATTTGCTCCATATCCATTGTCCGGAAGTCGACTAATGCATGCCTTCAGATCAACATACCTAAAAATGTTGTGCAAAGAAAGCGATATCAGATGACAGAGAGAAAACTCAAAAGAAGAATCAGCAGATTAACTTTTGATGCATGAAAGCTTTTATAAATCTGTATCAATTTGTCAACAGCACCTAACCTGACAGATGGGCCCCGGAGGCCCAGCCACTCAGCTAACTTTTCTAATCACGTAACCTATAAGAAAAAAAGGCACGGTTCTAAACACGTCTTCACTGATTTTTACCCAAGATAAACCCCCCGCCCCACAGAAGAGGAGAAAAAATTTACAACTATGCTTTGCAACAAGTAAATTACATCTATCGACAACAACCAAACTAGTTGCAAACCTGCCACTATGGGAAGAGACAAACACTAAAGGCAACTATCACAGATAGAAATTGAGCAGTAGTGAAGGCTGAATTATATCATTTAATAAAAAGAAATAAAGAACACAAGCAGTAATAGAAGAAAACTCTCCTTCATTAGCACTTGTACGAGTTTCCTTCAGACAGACAGTCTAATTCAAGAAAACGTTCCCTTCATTAGTGATGCAGGACAACTTCGGTTTTGAGACCAAAAGAGGAATTTGAGGTGTGGTAGCTTGGAGAATTAGGGATTTTGGGAAATTAGGGTTTTACTGTGCATGTAATATCAACAGAGATTACCGTAGCAAGGAAAAAAATAGAAAAGAGGGAGAAAGGGAAGAAATGATGATTGCGAAAAGGGAAGTGAAAGAATGCTCGACTCTGCATCTTAACTAAACCAAAATACTCATAATTCCGATATCAAGGTGCTCCCTATTACATAGAAGAGTAATGATAGGGATACTAACATTCTTGTACTAACTGATGTGACATCTATCAAATAAGAAAGGTTTTCAAATTACAAAGAGATTGATCTCACAATTTAATTTAGTTTTTACCATTATTGGAGTACCTATCACAGAGTGACCCATTGTTAGTAAAAAATATTGGTAGAATAGGGGCTTCCTTTATAGGCATCAAAAGTCCTATCACTCCTAAATTAGATAGGAAATAGATAAGCCAAATAGGAAAAGAAAACCATAGATAATAGAAATCCTTACTTATATTTAGTTTCTTGATTAAATTCAAAAAGTATGATGGTTACAGAATCAATGATTAAATAAACATAATTTCTAAACTTCTCTCTCATTGACTACATCAACTAGCACAGGGAAACCAGCTTGTTTATCAATACATCAGAAGTGAACAACATGCCTCCTTATCTTACCTCAATTTTTATCTCAAAGAGCTATATCGTTTTTTTTTTTTAGATGCCATTGAATCACATTTCTCCTTCCTTTTAGTGTATTAGATGAAAAAAATAAGACAGTCATCTTATGGAGCAGGAAATGAATGTTCTAGTTTCTAAAAGGGATGTGTCATTTATACTCCTAAAAAGTCTCTTGTACTCCTCTGAGCCATATAACATCATAGCACATAAATGATATGAAAATCTATATCTTTTAAGCACCTAAACGGAAAAATTGTCCCTACAATAAAACAAGATATCAAATTCAACATGATAAAGAGAAAAGGTAGTTATGCCATCTAAGCCACATAATGAGCACTTGAAACTTCTTCCAATGGTGAATAGCACATCCCTAGTAAAAAAGTGGGAGAATTTGACCTAAGAAAAGGTTGCAATGAGCTTCAAAAGAGAGGTGTTGATGCACCTTTTCCCATTTAATATTTTGATTAAATACTATACATACAAGCAATTTTATTGTTTAGAAAGAGAGAATTGCAGGAGATTACTTTCACGAAAGAGATCACCAGGGTGTTTTTAGTTTGAACAAAGATATGTTCTAAGTCCAAAGAAGATAAACAATTGCAAGTGACTCCTCGATAGAAACTTGCTCTGAATGATCGATAAAGGAGTGTACACGAGGTTATGCATTGCTTTTAAGACAATAAAGGGAACTCGCTCCACCAGGGCGAGGAGAAGTAGAAGAAGAATGTACAAGTACATATAGACACCTTTCCAATAAAATTCTTCCCAAATAAAGGTAATAAAAAAAATTAAAATATTGTAGATCACTGCACATTGAATTCCAAATGAGACTTGCAAGCTTAGATTTTCTACTCTTCCATCCATTTTTAAAAATCCAATAAATGTTGGTATTCCCTTTCTCTTGTTTTTTCCCTCTCCACTATCAGTTTCTACCTACCATGGCAACAAAGATCAGATTAATATCTAGTTATCTACCAGCATGACAAAAGTTTTTCCAGAAAAGCTAGAAAAGCTCATTCTATATGCCGTGACCCATGAAAACCATAAAACAGTCATAGGCGAAGCAAGTTTACCAAACATTATCAGGGTCATCATCTGGATCACACAATGGAGGTTTTGCTCCTGAGTCACGGCTTAGGTAGCAATTGTTGTTTAAGGGCTTTTTCCATATCGCAATATATCCCTCGTTCTTAACAAGCTCCCAGCAAAGACGAGTAGTAAGGTTAAGCATCTCTGAAGATATAGAAAGACACAATGTAATAAGATACAGAAATGTAATAGCCTATCAATGGAAGGAGAACACAGCATAACAAACAAACTGGTTAGACCAATATGTGAACAAACATCATTAAACCAAGTAATTTAGTTCCAACCATCCACATGTTTCTATGTGAGGTTGATATGCTGGATGTTTTGAATGGATATGTCCATTATTCAAGGATAACTAGCCATTGTCACATGAAGAAGTCAAAAAGTATACAAACTTGGTACATTTAGATGATTAACACTGAAAAGAAGGAGAAAACAAAATTCATGTGTGGATTATCTGAAGAAGAACAAGAGAAGTCATTAAAAATGCAAAACCTTTGATTATTTAACCAGCAATTTCTCACTGAGAAACTGAATGGATACCTTCCCACTGTTCCTCTAGGACTTCTTCGTGCTTATAAACTGGTTGTGCTGCCCAAACAAAGTATCCTCCTGCCCGGAGCATCCTATTGACTTCAAGGAGCAAAATTCCATCTTCATCATAATGTTTGGAAAAAGAAGAGACTATCAGAAGAGATCCCAGAAACATGGATTGATCAGAATGAAGGTAAAAAAATGCAAATTTACAAAGCTGCAGAACCTTGAATGCATGAAATGAACATTAGCAACACATCCTCAACATGAAATATAATAATCTCACATGATACATACACAATTGAATTGGAGGAAAATGAAATAGCAAGGGAATGGGAATACTTTACACAGTCAGAGAACTGCAGAGCAAAAAACAGCTATCTATTATAGATTTCTATTGGCAAAAGGTGGGTGGCATTTTGAACATGTAACATAATGCTTGCTCTCTCATTCTACAGATTTCTTCCAGCAGTTTAGTGATCAAAACTAGGCAAAACAGAAGAATGAAAAATCGTACCGTCGCGAGTCCAATTGATTCTGCATCTTGAACAATGTATCAATTCAAATGCTTGACTTGGATATAGAAGACGGTGAGTCGCAAATGCAGCCACCATTGCAGGTACACCTCGCTCAAGAGCAAATTGAATCTGATTCTCATGAACATCTTTGGGAGCAATAGACATAGTCATAACATTCCGTGACAGCAAATAGGCACCGAAACTTGCCACACCACATCCAACATCTAGAACCATTCGAGTATGACGACCAAATGTAATATCTGGGACCATCTACACATAACCAATGAGATATTAAACCACAAATAGACAGGCTATACATATCTTTTCTTCTCAAAACTAATATAAAAATAACATACCTTGGAAATCTGATCCAAATATTTATTCGCACCGTGTATGAACTGTGTACCACCGCCAGGAAACTTAAACTTGCCCTTCTCTTTAGAAATCCAGTTTTGGCCCCCTTTATCTTCAACTAATCGCGTATGAGGAACATTGCTATACCATACCTGTAAGAAAGTGGCATTTTTAATTGAAAATCTCCACACACACACAGAGCTTGGCTATTAAGCATGAGACAGTTTGCAAACAAAATCCCCATAACATACTGAACCTTGAATCAGCAAATGCAGTAAAGTAAATCACAATTGAAATAGAACCATGTTCCAGATATTCCACACAGCTCATGAAAATATAAACACAATTACTTCCTAATGTAATAAATTTTACTTAAGGAAAAGTAGAGCAACCCTAAATAACTATCGTTAGCTAGAGCTAAATTCATAAAACGTAACAATTTTCGCTCATAAAATTTTCATTCTCTTCCATTTTCCCCATTGTCACAAAAAGCATGAAAGAACAAATTCTAGACACTCGCTAACAAAAACTCGGCAAAATCAAAATGATAAATTTCAAATTTCTTTTCTTATCCTCTCCATTCTCTACAACTAAATAAACTCCACTTCGGTCCCAATACCTCATCGCGACTCCGCGGCCAAGGAATTGGTTGCCGGTATCCTTTAGGAGGAGGAACCAAGCAATTCAGTTGCTTCCCCTTTTCCGGACAATGCCTTTCGAATCTCTCCCCTTTCTCTGTCGATTTCAACCTCTTAATAGCCTCAGCATTATCCAAACACGGCATATACTCTCTCATACTCTCTGGACACAACTCATATTTCTTCACCCTAACCTTAACATCCTTACTTCCACTCTCAATTTCACTCTCGTTCCCCCAATTCTCCACGATCGCTGGATCAAACTCCCCGACCTCGAAATCATCACTCATTTTGCCTTCAGAATCAATGATACCAAACGTCCGATTTGGATCGGACAGTGGAGATTCATCGGGAGGTGGAGGAATGGAGGGTGGAGTTAGGGTAATGGCTTGATCTATAGGGGGTTGATCGGTTTGGGAAATTAGAGAGGTGATGTTGAACGACTTGTCGTTGTTAGGAGATATGGAGATGAAGTTCTGTGGTGTGGAGAAGAAGAGGAGTTGCTGGTAACCACCGTTGGACCAGTGTTTGCCTAAGTAGAAAAATGTGATTGAGATTAAAGTAAAGGCTGTGATTTTGAGGATTAGTGGAGTTTTAAAAAGATCTGTATTCGTGAGTGGTTTCATGATTGATTGATGCGGTGTTGGTGGTGGTGAGGGCGGCGGTTTTTTGGATGTGAGAATGCGAGCGAACCGGACTCGCGAAAGTGAGCTAGCGAGCGTCGGTCGGTCGGTGGATCTAGTGATGTTACGGGTTGTGAATAAGATGCGAAGGGAAGAAGAGGGACCTGGCAAGTGGCAAGAGGCAGGTGCTGTTTCCAATTTATTCCAGAGGATCCAAATTATCCAATCAAAACTCAATTAAGTCCGTGAAGATTATAAATTTGTGTGCAAATAGGAGTATATTATAACTTGGTCCTTGTAGTTTGTAAACATAAAATTTAATCCTTATGGTTTTAGAAATTATATAATTAATCCTTATATTTTGAAATTGGTTTATACTTGGTACTTTTGTCAAACTCGTATTATTTTTCATTCAATTTTGTTTTATTTTTACTTTTTAAATGATAGAAAAAGAGGAAAGGAAGATCATGTAAGATACAAAATGTGTGCTGCGTTCGTGATTTTTTTTTTAATTTCAAATGATCTTCTTTTTTTGTTTTGAATTCAATGTTTCCAATAATCTTGTTTATAGTTTTGAATTCTTGTAGTGATAAAATCAAATGCATTTACTATTCAAGTAACCTTAAAATATTTTGAAGTATTGATTTAAGTTTTTTTTTTTTTTTTTTTGGCCCCACTCACTGAGATTTCATTTTCCGTCCTGTGCTGCATAAAAGGAATGACCAGCTTTTTATCTCTATCATCAAGTAATTCTACTGGCAAAGAGCGAAACCCTTTGCTCACCAATTGGATTTAGTGAATTAAAAAATTGTTTCTAGGATCCAAATTCACTTTACATTTCTTGGGTTTTTTTAATTAAATTATTGTCAATGTGGACCACTTGAAATTACAATGCATCATGGACAACATAAATAAATTAATGAGATGTGATCTATAGTGGTCTAAAAGTTTTTAATTTCATTGTTAGAGTTTACAATTTAATATTATTCGTTAACATGGACGGCTTGAATTGCAATGCAGAATGGACAGCACAAATAAATTAACAAGATATGATCTTTAATCGTATAGAAGTTTTTATTTTTATTGTTCGGATTTACAATTTAAGATTATTCATATTTTACAACGACAAAAACGTAATATATATATATATAATCGAATTTTATTGAATTTTTCTTACTGGCATGATAGAGATGTAAAACTTTAAAATATGAAAGAATTCTTTGCTAGAGTTGGTTTGGAGGCTATGCTAGTTGATTGGTAACGGTTACAATGATAAAATAATTGTAAAAATAAAATAATTGTAAAACAAGTCTTTTTAGTTGAATGAAAAATCATCCGATGATTAAGTTAGCAAATAAAAAAAAAACTACTTTTGAAAAACCAATAATACAAATGGTGTAGCCATACCAAAAAATAAAACGATTAGAGATTTAAGGAACAAAATTTAAACTTTAAACTTTAAATTTTATAATTGTTTATGTTTACCCGAAAAGAGAAGTTAAATCATTTTTTTTATTGTAATAAATATTTTTTAAATTAATAGGTAATTGTTTACTAAACGGAAAAACTACATAATAAGTACATAAACTCTGAATTTTTTTAATCAAGTACATCAATTTTTATTTTTTTCGTTTTAGTTTATAAACTTTTTTGAAAATGTTGATTAAATTTTTTCGTCTAATTTTTCATGCAGCGATGATGTGACAATTAATAGAAAAGACTAAATGACAATATTGTTCTTTTTTCTTTTCTCATCTCAAATTATTATTATTTTTTAAGTATTAATTAATTAAAAAAAAAACAAAGCAGAGAAGCTAGCAAGCATGAGTGCTTGCTAGCTTCTCTGCTTTGTTTTTTTTTTTTAATTAATTAATACTTAAATAATAATAATAATTTGGATGGAAAAAAAGTTAGTATAGTCATTTGGTTTTTTTGTTGACTGCTACGGTATGAAAAATTGAACAACAAAACTTGATTGATATTTAAAAAAAATATAATATACCAAAACAAAAAAATAAAAATTAACGTACTCAATTGAAAAATTATTTAAAATTAACGTGATCATTATATATTTCTTCCTTAAATAAACATAATGACCATCACTATTATCGTCGGTTGGATTATTTTATATTTTTCTGATAAATAGAATGTAAGTCGAACTCTTCCATTCTAAGTCGAATGATCGAGGCACCAGAAAGACGTATTTCTTTGACAATTCCGGGGGTTGCATGTCCGAACTCCATCCGTTCATCCAAATTCGACTAGAGCGTAAGAACAATGGGCCAGGGTCCCTCCATGTATCACTCTGTCATGCTGTAGATGAAAATTGGGCTGGCTACTATTTTTTCGGACCAGCTCACCGCGGGCTTCTCTTCATCATCGGTAGTTCCCACAAACTGACAAAAGAACATTCCAGTACGATACCCAAAAACATTAAAAAAAAAAAAAAAAAAAAACCCACAGCCCAGACGTATAAAGAAAGAGTTACTAAAACTTTTATCAATTTCTCTTGGCAAATCTCTCGAGGGTTGAAACTCTGCCCGCACGAAAAAAAAACAAACGAACAAACTAAACAGAGCACAAATTAAAACTCTCCACGTCTCTTCTCTTCTCTACAAAATCCAATTTAACCAAAGAAGCCACCTTTCGCTATTCTATTTTTTTCACTTTTTTTCTCATTTACAGAGCTCCATCGGTTTCTTTATCACATCTACTCTCCTCTCCTCTCTGGCCAAATTCACCTTCTCCTCTTTCACTTCCCTCTGATTAATTCCCCCGAATCTCTCTACAATCCCACCATTTCCTTCTCTTCGAACCCTAAAAGAATAACCAAATTTCACCGTGAATTAATTCTAGGGTTTGCCGTAACCTTCATAAAACCGCACAATTCGTCGAAATGATCCTATAATTCCTTGGATTCAAGCCCTGATCTCCCTTTTTCTATCAATTGATTCCACTCACTCGAATTCATAGATAAAGATCCTAACCTTTTCTAGGGTTTCTATATCTCGATGAAATCATGGACGATTCCAAGGGAGATATAGATAAGGACTCGTCTTCGAAGTCAATAAACGAGACGGTGAATGGGTCTCACCAGTTTACGATAAAGGGGTATTCGCTAGCGAAGGGAATGGGAGCTGGGAAATGCATCTCGAGTGATGTTTTCAATGTGGGTGGCTATGATTGGGCTATTTATTTTTACCCAGATGGGAAAAACCCTGAGGATAGCTCGATGTACGTGTCTGTTTTTATCGCGTTAGCGAGCGAAGGAACGGACGTTAGGGCTTTGTTTGAGTTGACGCTGGTGGATCAGAGTGGGAAAGGGAAGCATAAAGTGCATAGTCATTTTGATCGTGCCTTGGAGGGTGGACCTTATTCGTTGAAGTACAGAGGGAGCATGTGGTAGTGTGGTTTTTTTTTTCCAATTTTGTTCAGTTCTGTTTCCTGTATTTTATTTGGTTAATATTTGTTTCTGAAAATTGTGTTTTATGTGGTTAATTAAGTATTAGTGGATTTTGATTAATGCACCTGTAGTTTGTGGGTTAAAGATGGATTTTGAACTTCTGGCATGAGAGTTAATTCATGTAACGAGGGGAAAAAAAAGGATGTTATGCCTGTCCATACTATTTTGTTTTAGTAGTGGAAATAGCACACGCTGAAATTGATGAGTGGTAGATTGTAGTACGGATTTTATGTTCACATAGTTGACCTTTACAATCAGTAAATTTGTTTTTATCGGATGCTGCTATGTGTGATAATGTACGTTATGTATTTGGAGCAGTATGATAATGTGCGTTAGTAAATAACTGTTGCTATTGTAAAATGACAGCTCTGCTTACTGAAAATAGCATTTGACAGTGCTGCTACTACTGTTGTGGGTGAGGTTAAAAGGTCGCATTTATGTAATTAATAATATCTTTATGGAAGATTTAGACTTAATTCTTAGGAAATATTACCAACAAAAGATCTGATGTTCAATTACTTACAGTCTTGATCCTTTTGTGCTTCAAACAGGTGCATATGATTATTTCTCTCAAATTCTCTTTTGTTGTATTCCTTGACAGATCCCGATTAATCTATGATAACATGCCTTGGAAATTAAGATCCTAACTCCTACTGGGAAAAAAAAAAAAGACCTGCATTCCCATACCTGGAAGATCCACACATGGTTATTATTATTATTATTATTATTATGTTTTGTAACAAACTAAGAATGATATAATACTGTAACTAAAAACATCACATCAACAAGTACTATTTTACAAATTTATACATTTCGCTCGACTAACTTAAAAAATCAAGTTTCCTACTGTCTCATGCAGATGCCTATAGCTTTGAAACTTTAACCGGTGTGTTGTTTGGAATTTTATTTCATGCATTGTGATTGTACATTGTTTAGTGAGTAGATGAGTTTAGTGTGCCTTCGATGTATTGCATTCCTCAGACTGGCGTATTGATCCCTGCCTATGACACTGAAACTAGTAGATATCCATGTGGTGTTACTCTGAGTTGGTTTTTTTGTATTATTGGTAGTTTTGGCGAACTTGTTAGAATTATTTTTGTTTGTTTTAATAAGATTTGTTTGTTTGCATCTAGCGCCTGTAGATGTCACATTTAAGTTTAATCAGTTTATGCTCATCTCTTCTCTTTTCTTTTCTTTTGGGGAATCAGGCGGTAAAGTGGCTGGGGGTGTATTGGGCAACTTCTCGATATTTACTCTCATAACACTTTGTTGATGCATTTCAGGGGTTACAAGCGTTTCTTCCGAAGGACAACCTTGGAAACTTCTGATTATCTGAAGGATGACTGCCTAATCATGAACTGCACTGTCGGAGTTGTCAGAACTCGTCTTGAAGGACCAAAACAGTACTCCATTTCAGTTCCACCTACAGACATGGGTCAGGGTTTGAAAGAACTACTGGAGTCTGAAGCTGGTTGTGACATTGCTTTTCAGGTTGGTGATGAAACATTTAAAGCTCATAAGTTGATCCTTGCTGCTCGTTCACCTGTTTTCAGAGCTCAGTTTTTTGGACTTGTTGGGGATCCTAAAATGGATAAAGTAGTAGTGAAGGATGTTGATCCTTTGATATTCAAGGTAAGCTTCTTGTCCTAACTTCTATCCATCGCCATTTGAAAAAAGAGAATAGGAAAAGTGCCTTCTTTGTATGCATTTTGTATGCTTTTTTATGTGTCAAAAAAAGGAGAGCTTCAGTTTTCTGTTAGGTTCAACATATTGAACAGTAGCATTTTAGACCCACGTTAGTTTTCCCCAACTTTGAATTTATTCTTTATGCAAAATTCTTGAATGCTGTTATGATCACTCATATAAAAGAGGCGGGTATGATTTGATTGGGTCTCTTCTGTGTTTTCAGGCGATGCTTCTGTTTATATACACAGACAAACTTCCTGATGTACATGAGATAACAGGATCAACATCAATGTGCACATCTACCAATATGGTGCAGCATCTGTTGGCTGTCTCTGACCTCTACAATTTAGATCGATTGAAATTGTTATGTGAATCAAAGTTGTGTGAGGAACTCAGTGCTGAGACTGTAGCAACAACGCTGGCATTGGCTGAGCAGCATCAGTGTATGCAACTCAAGGCTATCTGTTTGAAATTTGCAGCAAATCCAGCAAACTTGGGAGGTGCGTGTTGCTCATTATGAGCTGTGTGAATTCAAGTTATGTCAGTTTTATTGTTTTTCATTGTTTGATCTAGATAAAAATACATGAAATTCTCATTCTTATCTAAAACTGTTAAGATGCTTAGCACCCCAAGAATAAAGAGTCCAAAATGTTAGATGTTTGTAATGTTTGCTTCTTGAAATAGATAAATGTTCAGTTGCATAATGCTTAGATCTCAACAATGCAAATTATTGCAACACCTTTATGCAAAAACTAATACGTAGAGGATTTTTTGTTTTCCTCCTCTATCTCCAGACTGACCTGGGCGTTCTATTTCTGAGAGCCTTGGTTTAATTACTGGTGGATAATCTCTTAAGGGTGCATATGCTTTTGTACATGTTTTCCTCCTGTAGACATATTTTAGCTCCTTTATTTGCCCTATTGAAATACTAGTTGTTAGTGGAGGATAAGATAAGGAATGAATCCTGGAAGTTCCATGTAACATTTAACATCTCATTATATAATGCAGTATATGTTTGAGATAAAATAAGAGGTCTTTCTGAGACTATAGGAGTTTTATTGTATGGCTGAATAGAGATCAATCTAAATCTGCCTTTTTTTCTTCTTAGCACCAGGTGTAATCCTACCATCCATATCGGCCATTTCTTTCCTTTGAACTTTATGTTTTTAATGCCTAGGGAGATGTATTAGAACATGATCGTTATAGATGAATTTGTTTTAGCATGATTGAGTGTGGAAAACCTGGACAGAATGTAAAGGCCAAAATCTGTCAACAGTTCGAAGCTTATGTTCATGGCAGTTCTTGCTTTGAAAGCAGTAGAGCATGCTATTTCACAAGAAAAGGCAAGAAGAACGTATGACAAGAACATTATAAGCCGTTAGAGTGGTAGAATGCCAATAACTCCCACATTGACCGCTTGATGGCTTACAGTTTTTATTTTAATTTAGTCATTTTGTTTATGAAATGGCACTACTCAAAACATTGTACCATTCCAAAAACAGGCACCATTTGTTATTGCTTTCGAACTTTAGTGCATTCGCCCATGAGCCAGGAATGAAGCCAATCATGTTATCTTATTGGTTTCTCTTTGCATATTTCTGTATTCTGCTGAGAATTTGATCCCTAATTGTTTCTGTTTTGCAGCTGTTATGCAGTCAGAAGGGTTCCGGCATTTGGAGGAGAGCTGCCCTTCAATGTTATGTGAGTTGCTTAAGACATTTGCTTCAGGAGATGAGAACTCAAGTCTTCTATCAGGTAGGAAGAGGAGTGGCAGCAGTGTACTTGGGCTCGATCTAGCGACTGATGGGGCTCCAGCAGAATCAGCAAATCCCAACGGCAGGCGGCTGAGGAGGCGGTATTAGATATAGATAGTTGCATGCAAATTGTAATTCTGTCATCCTTTATGGTATGTGATCAAGTGATAAGAGTGACTGACATACAAGTTTCGTCCTGCCAATGCCGTATGGAATATGATCAAAAGAGTTAGTAGTTTTTGCAGGTTCTGCTAGAAAATGTTTGTTGGTTTTGTTTGTGCTCTTCTCTCTCTCTCCTTGAGTAGTTGAGTGTTAGCAAGCGTACATAACGGTAAATCCGTCTTTTCGTTGAACTCCCAAACTTTTCGATTTAACAAGTTACCGGACATTATCGCCGTCCTAAAATTTGTTTAATTCCAAGTGAGAACTGTCATGAATTAATGGAAATCAGTCATTGGGTGATAGTCAGTGAAGGTACACGGGAAAAGAAATGCCATTCTGTAGTTGCGGGCTTCCAGTCCATAGTGCATTTTTTCTCTCGGAGTAATTTTTTTTTTGTTCTTCAGATTCCTAGAGTATTCTAGGCTCAAAAGCTTATGTTAATTTCTTGTTATTTAGTCGGAAGAAGTTTTTTGTGTATGTAAAAACTTAAAATAAAAATTATTTGTTTTAAGTAACTAAATTTTTTTCCGTTTAAATCAACTCTCCTGGGTAATGCTTTTTTTGTTCTTTTTCTTTTTTTTTTTACTGCTTTCTGAAGGACAAGTATTCAAGTATTAGTATTTTATAGCATGGTGAAATATAAAAAGGCAAACAGATCGTTGGAATATATTATTGAGAAATGGTAAATACTAATGGAAATTATTATTGAGAAATAGTAAATACTAAATTAAAAACCCTATCTAATTTGGAGATTGTTTTTTATATCTATTTGCCATATTTGTTACTCAAAAAGCGTTTATTTTCTTTTATTTATTCCTATCAAGTTCATTAGTGCTTTCTATAGCGATACTGATTACCATTTTATTTTCTTCATGGACCCTCAGCCCCCATCCAACCGTCTCCTGCTGCTCGTTGTTTTCTTATTTCCAAAATTTTCAGTGCAAGTCATCTAAACGCTTTAACACAGTTTTTATCCGGCCGGAAACTCCTGCAACTGATCAAAGAAAAATGAAGCTTGGGAGATCAAAGAAAAATGAAGCTTGGGAAGATGACGGCCAAAATCGAAGCCCAAAATGTTCCGTCGAATTTATCATTATCCGGCTGTAAGCTCTATCTATGTTACTTCACAGAAACAGAAAAAGAAATTGGCAGCTGTTGCAGTAATTGTAAAATCGATATCTATCACGGAATGGTCCAAAATCGTAGCTTAATTTTGATAGGAAAATATGATAAAAGTCAAATTTCTTGTTTCAGTTAGTAATGACATTGACTGTGTCCTGTTCCTCTTAAGAAAGCCGCCTCATATCTCAAGTTCGCCCTGTTGGTTGTATTTCGTATCCGAGAAAGAAACAGAATTAAGGACATAGAGAAATCCCCCCATAAACAAAAATCTACTCTCTTTTTAAGATTTAATTACAAACGAGAAGGCTCGGAAAAACATATTGGATAATTGGCTTTGCGTCTATATAGACTTTGACAAATGCCGATAACCATTACACATTTGGATTCACCAAATATATTAGCACAAGGGAAAGGACTTTGACAAAATATATAAGGCCAGCTGCAGAAGCTGGAACACAAGATCCAGACTCGTTATTTCACGCAAACCTCAAAACTCTATACAGAAACTCGACTATCTTATATTTCTTGTTGCTAGGATAAGCTGAACGCTCAAAACCATAGCAAGGGGACGAATTTCTTGATTTCTCTTGAAGAAGATCACGATCAGGCCATAAAAAGGCACCCAGTGCAAATTCCCTCTTGTAAGCCAAGTCACCGTTCACGGGTAACCCATACTCAGCAAGGAGCCTATCAAGCTGCCACTCAGGCATGTTCTGGTAGTCTTTCTTGGTGTATCTTGGGTAGTGCAGTGGCATTTGGAAAAAGCTAGCTCCATTAACATGATCCTTTTTCTTGCTATCCATCTCCTTGATTCTTAAACTCACTTCTTTCACTGTCTAGAGTAGTAGTACTGTTTTTCTAAGGTTGAATTCGTGGGATTTTCGTTTTGGCTCTCGAGTGATTTATATAGTGTCAAGTTATGTTCTCTTAAGGCAGGTTCGATTGGCCTTTTTTGTGGCAGTATCACGAGGATTAACTGGTGTAACTTCTTTTGAGGTGCATTGTTTGTTGTTCCTCTATAGTGTGACTGTGTGCGTTCGTGTCTGTGCGTGTGGGAACTGTGGGCAAAAACTGGGTGGGGAATTTGGGTTGCTGATAAATGTGTGAACTAGCCAATGGTTTTGTACAGATCCCAGCGATTTAAAGGTCTATAAACCATTTGAAAGACCATTTTTGCTCACTGACATAATGTCATTTGCCTTAACTAATAACTGATCAGAATCAAAAGGGCAATCCAACATTTCCTTTCATGACTTCTGTTCGAACATATGACATTCTTCGAGCACAACTACTAAACATAGAATACGCTAAAAACAAAACTAAGCCCATTGGTAAGGATTCATACCTACGCATTCATAAGAAACTGGTAAATTGGGGGTCTCTAAAACGTGCATGTGGCTTTCATTCTAATTTGGATTCACCATCAAATCATCAGTCTGTAATTTGGTCATAGAGAAACTGCTTTTGCCTTGGCATTTAATAATTGGTCGATAATACTTATGCCATATTGCCATCTCTCTAGAAAATTGTACAATGATCATATTCCACTACTAAAGCCTAAGACTTGACCATACCAGTCTTATGTAACATATTGAACCTCGTTTAGAAGCTAAACTTGTGCGATCATTTGTAGTCCTCCATCTATTTCATTTAGGAGCTAAAATAACCTTACCTCAATGCAACAAGAAGCTTGCAAAAAATATGAAAAACAGCACTGCGCTAGCTCCTTCTCCTTTGCAAATAACTACCAACGTGATTGGGCTAATCCAAACCATGGAATTTACAGGTTATACACAACACATTTTACTATACATGTCTTGGCCAGAAAGTTTCATCAGGGAGAAAAAACAGGGACGTTGGAGGCTTGAAGGACCAAACTTTCCATCTTCCTGGAAAACCCAAAACCAAGGACTACATCTCTGGCGTGGAGAACCCAAAACCTAACAATAGCAAAAACCCAATTGTGATAAGGCTTTTACCAATTCAAGATATTAATGAACCACGGAGCCGGCCCAAAAATGAATCGGGTCCAGCTTAAAAAATCACAACTATAAACTGAATAAACTTCCATCCACTAGTTTTACGTGGGTGATCAAGTACGGATCCGTAAATCCACGTTTTAGGTCTATGTACGGAACAGAACCCTTGCATTTTGGGCCTCACAAAATCACATAATGAGTGGGCCCACATATCAAAGCATGACCCCCAATAATGCGTGTCTATTTCTTTAATCATTTGATGGGCTCACTTGTGTGTGGGGTAATCAATCCTGTGGCGACAGAAATATCATCGATGATTGTCTAATGAGAGTCCCCAACATCGGTCGGCTGGTCTTGATAGGGCTAACTATTTTCGATAACTGATCGTGTGGCTCGGCTGAGAGGTCCAATCATTTCGAGCAAAGGGCCCATTGTCGAGTGGTATTTCTACATTTGCAGGTCCAACAATGTGACATTCTGGGCCTTAAAGAATAGGTGGGAAGTTTTGCAACACGCGATGTACATCTTAGCTTCCAAGGACTAAATTAACTCCTTTCGGTTACTTGGATTGTACGACCGTACAATAATGTCACCTGATATTCTGATAATATAGGTGAGATTGTAAAATGGCCTCCATGGATTTTTTTTTTTTAATAATCCGAAAAATGATCATTCTTTAATCATCATCCACAGGTACGATTTTAAAATAAAAAATTTGAAATTCTCTATATTTTTTAAATAAAAAAAGATATAAGTCCGATAGCCACATAAATTAAAAATATAAAAAGTGATCTCACGCCAACAATCTAGTATATAAAAATAAATTCTTTAATTTATTCTTATATTACATATTATAATAACTTTGTGTGAAGAATAAAGTTTTCAGTCGGTACTTTTATCAACTTTTATACTTTTAATATATGTCCTCCATATATAACTTAAAATGTTAAAAAATAAAAATATTAATTGGATAAAAAATTAAAAATGGTATTTGCAGATTGTACGATTCTAATATTAATTTGGATGGAAAATGGTAATAGAAAATATTAATAAAAATACTTATAGGAGATTAGTAATTTATTAATTCAAGGATTAGATTGACATAATTAGGAATATGAATACATAACAAAGAATTCTACATGGATGAACATATTCCTCGACGATGTATACTCTTCAATAATCTGATTTTATATTTATACTTTTTTTTCTTTTTTTTTTTACTACCGATATAAAGACCTCCAGTCATTTCCTCGACAACAGTAGACCTTTTGCACCCAATTAGCTGCAGGCACGTCTTGCAGAGTCTTTAATAACATTTTCTTTTTGCTGTGGATACAATAATGGACTCACATGCTCTACCTTTAAAAAATGGACGAACGTGTTTGGCCTTTGATTATAAGAAGAATAAGAGTATAATTTTTCTGAGCCATTTATTCATTCAGTGGTCTATTGGGTGCAGATTTGTGAAACCACAAGCCAGTCAAACCAGTCCTCTAAACCCTTATATTTGAACCTCACATGCCATGAAGCGTGGCATCCCACGTGAATTCTTGAATGATACACGTGTCTGTCTTACATTCATTCGATGGGAATGATCGTGCGGTTAGAGACAAAGGTCCAATCATGGTATCTAACGAACCCCACAAATTAGGTGGTTCATCTTGTATTTTCCGTATCACGTGGGCGTAACAGTCCAACACACTAACAATTGCTCCGTGCCAAAATGTTCGGAAACCTAACGGCCTAATGTAATGCTAAGTTGTTTTTTTTTTTTTTTGGATGAAGATTATTTATATAAATAAATATAATTTAGTGATTGTGTGTCTGATAATTTTTTTCAACCAAACAGATTTACATCTTAATAACTTCAACTAAGACTATTTCTTATCATGTAACCTAACAAAGATTTTCATGAGCAAACAAATGACAAAGAGTATTTCAAAAATACCATTTGGCTGAATGCATTATTTTTTATAAAAAAAATCATAATCTTTTTTCAAATTGAAACCTAAAATTAATTAAAAAATAAGAAGCAAATCATTTTTAACATTTAAAAAATACAAGCAGTCATGACCTAGCAGGCAAGTAGATTATAAATTAGTTCCTCTAGTTTCAAGAAACAAATTAATTAGTATCTTTCATTTTAAAATTTATTATTTATTCTCTTAATTAGTATTAGTTATGTTTAATTTAATATTATTTTTATTTTATTAAATATATTTTTTTCAATATTTTTATTTTTTATATATTTTTCTACTTCTTAAAACAAAAAATAAAAATAAATTAAAAAATAATAAAAAGGATTAAATTATAATTAAATTTTAAAATATAAGAATTAAATAATTAATTTTTAAAATAAAAAATAATTTATTTATTTCTCAAAACGTAAATAACTAATTTATAATTTACTCATGAGACTTCCCATAAACTTAAAGAAAATAAAATTAAATAACACCAAAACGCATGTTGGTAGTCGATGTCTATCTTTTCAACTGTTTGGTTACAATCATTTGATGGGGTCCTCTCTAGCTTGTGATATTTATAAGCTCAACGGTGGGTCCATTAGCTTGTTTTGGAATGGTCTGACTCAGGTTGTTGGAAATTCCAATAATTCATCCTTTGCTTTTATTTTGTGTGTATATGTTTCAAAGTGAAAAAAAACTCGACCGTGCCGTGAGATAATTTTATGTGGTGTCACTGACTCACTGGCAGAAGTTATCTTGAGGCCAGAATTTGTGAAGACGGCGACCTGGCGGCAACAACTACAAAGAGCGCAATCATTTTGAAAGGAACAGCGCATGCACTTCAGTTTCTCATTTCTATACCCAATAGAGTTTGTTCTTCCGTTTTTTTAAAAAAAATTGTGGGGGAATACGGTCTGAGAAGAGAAAAATGAATATCTGTACAAAGGATTCACTCCATTCCTGGTTTTTGTTTTTGCCAAGAGTGGCATTTCGTCTCGGTAGCGACCCTTTTGTCGGCCTGGATAGGGAAAATTTCCACTACCGTAACTGCTTGATTGCATTACTTTCTTACATTCTGACTTTCTTCGTGATCCCAACTGCTCGTGATACGAATTATTAACTAAAAACTTATAAGAAAATTAAAAAAATCTATGAATTCTTAATTAAATTTTAAAAAAAAAATTATAAGACAAATTATCTTAAAAACACTTTATATATATATAATTTAGAAATTCAAATAATTCGTTATGTAATATAAAAAAAATTAAGAACAAATAATCATATTCTAAAAATTTATTAATATATGTATTTAACCATACTATGTAATTTAAAAATTTTAAAAATATATCTTATAAATTACATCAATTTTTTTAATATCAAATAAAAATATCATAAAAATTTATTTAAAAAATATATACATAGATCTCTTTCTCCTTACTCCTCTTTTTTCCATTTCTCTTTTCTCTTAGCAGTTAGAGACCAAACTATAATATAAATAAAATTATGAATCAAAATAAAATTTATTAAAAAATGAGAGATGAAAGAATAATATGAGCAAACCTTTATGTACAGATAAGGATGAACAATGTTGTAAGCAAAATAAACACTTTAAAAAAAGCTTAAAATAATAAAATTATAAAAATATCGTCGAACATGTGAATCATTTAAAGTTAATAAAAACTCTATCACTTTTAGAATTTTTTGTAATTCTTTTCACTGATACGATGCTCTCTTATTGACCTATAATTGCCAAAATACGGGAAGGGAAAAAAAATCTAACCGATCGAATGATGTGTGCATCGCGAAATGCTATTAGCTAGTGAAAACGAAGGGCATTATTTTTCCTATCAAACATAATGAAATGAAACTTGTGGTTATAAAGCATCTCCAAACTCCGGCTGACTAACACTATATGTAGCAACAAACACATATAATTAGCCTTTAGAGTAAATTATTGCAGACAGAAACAGCAGCATTAATAATTCCCACAGAATACATTTTGACTTTTATTGCAGTGTACGCTGTTTTTGGGCATAGGATGGAGAGAGCTCATGGTCACAAGAAAAATGCAGTCCTATGTATAATATATGGGACCGCAATGCAAATGAAAGGACCAACTCCTTCGCGCACTAAAACATCAGTGACAATACTTTGGCCAGCAAAAAAGAGGAAAAACAAAGTGCTGTGAAGTTTCGGTCACTTAAATTCACTTCGTAGATAAGGAAATTTTCATGGTTCCAACTTCCAAGAAGGAAAGAGAGTATCTTCCCAGTATATATATTGAACATTTACAATATATTTGGTAATAGGTTTAAGTTACATTTAAAAATGTTACTGGATAAAAAAACATCAAATTGATATGAATATATGAAAAATATTCGGAAAGAATATCTAAATATACTTTTATAAAAACTCTAGTACAGTAACTTTGAATGTTTTTTTAATCTAGCACGTCAATTTTTATTTTTTTGTTTCGATGTATCAACTTTTTAGGAAATGTTAATTAAGTTTTTTCGTTTAATAAAAATGTGACAATTAACATAAAAGTCTAAATAACTTATTATTCTTGTTTTTTGAAAATGTTAGATAATTTTGTATTTATGATTCAATTTCTTCATGATTAGTGGGATATGAGGCATTTTATAAATACAATCATCAATATCGTTAAATTAAATGAATAGTTAATGTAAACATTAATTAAGCCTTATTGTATCTAACTTTATATTAAGAACGCCAATGTACCACTTATTCATTGATAATGACCTCTTGAAATCTAGTGAAAAGTTAGTTATTCAATAGTTAACAAACACTAAAAATGGAATTTGATTACATTTAATGCAAGACTAGTCAAGATTAACGGATATAATCAATTTTCAGTTCTCATAAATCAAATTTATATTTCTTAATTGGTTCTAGGCTTCGCATGGGATGTAGAATGTTCTATCAACAAACTGTAAACTTTTATTTGGTACACGTGACCGTTGAATAACTTTTGATCACACGTAAGCATAAAAACTAACGAAGAATTAAATAATTCACCCATTATAAAAAAAGAAATAATACTAATAATTCACCTCTCACATGTATAAACCAACAAAAGAAAACCCAGATGATTGCCTCAACCTTACACAAAAAATGACGTGGCATGACCTTTCTACACGCATCCCACGCTAATAACCAGACCCGTGTAAGACAATAACCATTGGATTTGGGGTTTGAATTCTGATTGAATTATACGAAATTTGGATCCGATTTATTAATAAACTAATTAACTCATGCCTTGTGAATTTGTATTTGAGTTTTACAGCTGTAGATTAGAATCTTGATGGATTGAGGTAAGATTCGAATATCTATTAAATTTATTATTCAATTTTTTCAAAAAATAAAAATAAAGACTACGATCAAAATCATATCTCAATATAAATAGATTTCAATTATCGTACGTATGAAATATATATTGTGATAATATTTGATATATCATTTTTTAAAAAATGCATTACTGTTAAAAAGTAAAATAAAATAACGTCAATACTAAAAATTAAAATTAATTTTAATTAGAAGAAAAATATGATAAAATTAGAGAAAAAGAATTAAAATACATACTCTAAACACAATTCGAAAAAAAATTCTATTGTTTTACGATAAAACAACCCTGAAAATAAAAAAAAATCAGATTAAATCAAGATTTTATAAATTAGAAACAAAAGTATAATACTAGCAACAACTCAGTAATTAATTTGAGACTTAAAAGGAGAAGGAAAAACTTATTATGTGATAGTTTGAAAAAATAACCTTCAATATAGAAAAAAAAATATAGAACGTTTCCTGTAATTTATGATAAATAAACCGTAAATCTAGAACTAGTGGCCACACATTCTTATAATTTATATTTAATGTTTTATTAAATATTATATTTAATAAAAATAATATTAATATATTATTTAAGATTGAATTATTATCACATCATATAGACATATATTCGTATTTGATTTATTAAATAAATTAATTAAATAATTTGGATAATAATCACTTTCAAATTATAAAAATTATATATCAAATTTATTTAATTATATGGAAATTCGATTCCTTTGGGATTAAAATTTAATCTATTAACAGGCCTAATAGGAAGCAACCACGTGTCACTCGGGAGCAACCACTACACGCCATCTCTTAGTAATTTTATTTCTTTACAGAGTCCTACCTTCCAGAAACTTCCGAGAACTCCTGGCCAGAATTAACTGAACAATCTAGCGGTTCATATTGTGCCACGTGTACATTCTAATCCACGTCAGCATCTTACGTGGCACCTTCTATTTTCTTGAAAATGATACGCCCCCTCCCCCATTGCACACACCAAACAAACTCACAAAAACACAAACCCCACCCCCTCCCTCCCCCGCGCGAAATTTTTCTATCCCGAAAAGAAAAAGGGAAACAAAATCAACACACACACAAAAGAAAAATAGTAGCAAGCAGTATTGATTATTTCTTTTTTTTGTTTTGTTTTCATTTGTGTTGCTTTTTCTTCTTTCTTTCTTTGCTTTTTTTTTTTTATATAAAGAATGAACGGGGAAGGAAAGGAAGGAGCAGTGAAGATGGAGGTGAATAATGAGAGATTGGTTTTTATGTGGGGATATTTACCTGGTGCTTTGCCGCAAAGGTCGCCAATTTTGTCTCCGCTTGCTGTTAGGTCCACGGTGTATGCGTGGAAGGATGTTTGTGGCGGCGGTTGCGGTTTTGCCATGGCCATTTCTGGTGATTTTTCTGTCTCTTCACATTTATTTTATTTTTGGGTGGTTTTGAGAGATGAGATTTGGGAATGGCATTAATTTGGGTTATTGTGGTTGTTATTTTGATGGGAAAAATTGAGTGGTGAGGGTTGTTTTAGTACATTTGATTTCGTTCTGTTTGGTTTCTGAGAAAATGTGGGAAAGGGAGAGAGCGTAAGGTTGTTTGCTTGTTTGTTTTTACGCTGCTTAGTTTCTGGTAAGAAGAAAGTTGAGCTTCATTGCGCTAAAATGGAGATAATAAACTTAGTTAAGTGAGGTTTTTTACTTTGCTTGGTCCAAATCTTGATTTTTGCTTTTTTCTTCTCTTCCCTTTTTAATTGTTTATTTTTTTCTGTATTTGCTTTTTGTTTTCTTTCAATTTGTTAAAACGAGCTGAACTAAAATCATTTTTAGACAATTTCAATTTAAAATTAATTGGCTTCTGACATTTACTTTTGGGCGAATTACTTTCTTTTTAATTTCAGTTTCAATGCAACAGTATTTACGTTTCGCATTAAAGAAAGGAAATTTAGTTTTTCCTGGATGCAAGCCAATTCTTTTTTCCTTTCGTATTTCAACATTTTTACGGTGATTAGACGCCACACTGTTTGCTTGCTGCAATTTGCATTCGCTTGTCAGTAGAAGTACTTTTCATTTCTGTTCACCTTGTTGCTTTACCCTTAACTGAAGTTTGAGATATTGCTTATAATTAGATTATGGATATGCATAAAGGTCGCTTTTTCTTGATTCCCTTCAAGGCTAATAAAAGCATGATTTTATTGTTCCAATCAACTGATTTTTATGATTTAGAAAAACAGTAGAGTTTTACTCATGGTTGTTGTTTCATCAGAGTCTGGAAAGCTCATTACGTGGGGTTCTACAGATGATCTAGGTCAAAGCTATGTCACATCCGGGAAGCATGGGGTAGTGCTGCACTTCCAAGTTCATTCCATATATTTTGATTAATTTTTCATGTTGTAGAACTGACAAACATTTCTATTTCTGTTTTTCTTGTTAAGGAAACTCCTGAGGCTTTCCCTCTCCCAACCGAGGCTTCCATTGTAAAAGCTGCAGCTGGTTGGGCGCATTGTGTAGCAGCTACAGGTAAATAACTGTATATGTAAGGGTAGTGCTGAAGTCTTGCTTTGATTAAGAATTGTTTACGCATCTTGTTACTCTGCCTAAACTAACTAAACTCCTCTTCATTTCTCAAGCGCAGAAAATGGAGAAGTCTATACATGGGGATGGAAAGAATGTATTCCCTCAGGGAAAGTTTTCGGAGATCCATCAAGGCCGGGAGGATTAGAAAAGGATGCGTTTGAAAGACAGAATCTGTTTTTCACAGAGCAAGGCAATTCCTGACTGGCTACTTTGTCCAATACAGCGCACTAAGTAATTGGTCCTTTTATAGGCTAACGTGTGAATGGTGATTTTTTGCAGTCAGCCCCCGCTCTCAAGGCTCGAGGTCTAGCGGTGGAAGTGGAACCTTGTCTGGGGTTGATAGCAGAGGAAATGGAGATGAAAGTACAAAGAGGCGGAGAATATCATCAGCAACACAAGCAGCCGAAAGCTCATCTGCTGGAGATGAAACGCTCTCAGCATTGCCATGTCTAGTAACACTTAACCCGGGAGTGAGGATTGCCACTGTTGCTGCTGGCGGGCGCCACACTTTAGCATTGTCAGGTGAGTCCTGTCCTGCGATACTACTGTGCTGACTCAGTATTTTGTTGTGTAGTTCTCTCTGCAACGAGATCATGGTAACAAATTGATAGGAATTATGAAGCTTCAAGCTATGGAAGATCTTTTATGTAAAGCAACTAAGCAAGACACTTGATGTATCCTAATTTTCCCGAAGTTTCAGATATAGGACAGGTGTGGGGTTGGGGCTATGGTGGCGAAGGGCAACTTGGTTTTGGCTCCCGGATACGTATGGTGTCCTCTCCTCATCCCATACCATGCATTGACTCTGCTTATGGAAAAGATAGAGCTGTAGTGCTTTCTCGAGGGAGCATGACTTCAGAGGGACAGGGTTTTAGAGTTCCTGGAAGTTATGTTAAGGGGATCGCATGTGGAGGTCGACACAGTGCAGTAATTACAGGTACTATTGGATGCTGATGTTCTTTTTTGATGATTATACTGATTTGTTGAATTTGTTATTCAATAGATAGAAGCACAAATAACATACTTTAGGAACATATGAGCCATGTACTTGATCTACTTGTATCAGCAAGTACAGCAACAAGATTTATGAGCTAGACTCCAAAGTTTTGAACTGTTATGGCATGAGTTTGACCGGCACGATCAATGCATACCTGCTTTCCCTTTATTTATTTTTTCTTTTGATTATGTATTCAATGACCTCCGTATGACCACTCATACTTTTGGCTTCAAATTTATTACAGACGCTGGAGCACTACTTACTTTTGGCTGGGGACTCTATGGACAGGTACTTTGGTCTAGAAAATTCTTGCCAGTCAATGAGTCTCTCCTGGGGATTTCTATTTTCCAAAAGTAAATTTCTCGTGTCGTATGTGAGCTTGTCCTAGCCTTTTGATTTGAAAAATTTAGCTTTTCTTTCATCTTATGTTAGTTAGCTACGTGTTTCAGCCAATATGAGAGATCCTGATCTGACTGTTTATTTGAATCTGGTTCTTGCATAGAATCAGCATCAGAAAGGATAATGTAAAAAAACGAATTCCTAGTTGCTTGTCTTTTCTTCATGTAAGTCCCTTCATGTAAGTCCCAATTGGTTGAACTCCTATGGATCTGTTTTAACCTTTTGAATATTAAATGCTGGGTCTCTTATCTGACTGTCGAATCTCATTTGAATTATTTACTTTCTGACATCTTAGCCACTAAAAAATGCACTGATGCCTTGAGAATTGGCCTATGTTTGTTATTACTGTTAATGCCGCAACTCTTTGATTGCTTGGGACATGTCACTTATGAGCAACTGCAGATAAAGTGTGTAAAGTTGCCATATTTATGAAAAAGAGCAACCAAAGGAAAGAGAGGATGCACATCCAATCTTTCTCAAGAAATTTAAAATAGTGTAGTTGATTGCAAAGTTGCATTGGATTTAAATTACGAATTGTTTTCTCCAATCTTGAATTATTAAATCTTATAGTGTTTCTGAACTTTCGGTTTCTAGATTCTGAATTTCATTGACCATACATTCATGATTTTGTAATTAAAGTTTCCTGAAGCATATTTTGTTGAACCATGTTTTTCTTCTTAAACTGGCTGTTTCAAAAGTTTAATCTGGGGTGACAGTTTCCTACATTAACCATTCTTCAGAATCGACATGTAAGTAATGTAATTAATTAATCTGGTGGAGGAAAAGCAACGTAGATGTTGAAATAGTGTAGTTTATTTCTTTTTTAGTGCTTATATATTTATATTTTTCTTGTGATTAATTTTATTGCTGAATGTTTTGGCTTATCATGGTAAAAATAATAAACTCCATCATTATATTGTTTTTTAAAGTGTGGTCAAGGAAGCACAGATGATGAATTAAGCCCAACTTGTGTATCTTCCTTGCTGGGCATTAGGATAGAGGCAGTTGCTGCAGGGCTATGGCATACCATTTGTGTTTCTGCTGATGGTGATGTCTATGCATTTGGTGGGAATCAGTTTGGACAGTTGGGAACTGGTGGTGATCAAGCAGAGGTACATTGCAAAATATAACTTTGTTGCTCAAGTTTCCTCTTTTGCTTGATTGCAGGATAGTAAATTCAAACGCTGGTATTTTGGTATGATAAGATGTGCACGCATTATAAGATCTCAAAAATCCAATTGCATTTATCATCAATAGAACACAGAAAAAATGTCTTGGTTCAAAAGAAAAGATCAATTATTGCCCTTCATTGCTAATAGAACATTGGGAAAGGTGTCTAGACTCTTGAGTTTCGGAATTTCAGTTTAGGCACAGAAAGATACTAAGCACTGCTACTGCACTATGTCTGAATCATCATCACTGTTCACTGACTACTTAATAACTCAATCATAGCTACTATTTTAACAAATGTTTTAATCTTCAAGAATTTTCTGTGGTTAACTTCACAATTTATTGAATTTGTAAATCAGACTCTCCCCAGACTCTTGGAAGCTCCAAGCTTGGAAAATATACATGCAAAAACAGTTTCTTGTGGGGCTCGCCACAGTGCTATGATCACAGGTTTGTGAACTACTTTTAGGCCTTCTTATCTCCTTATTTGGTGTTAAACCAACAAATACGTCATTCCATTTCTGGCGAAGATCAGACAAACTACTGAATTTTATGTCTGCATGCTTGAATATTATTTGAGTTGATTTTCTATCTTAGATCATCTCCTTTGATCTTGTTGGCAACGAACTGAGTGCTAATGTTTTGGTTGGGTGAAACAAACTCTGAACAATTTTCTAAATTATAAAACCATAAATGTGATTGCTATTTGGATAAATAAAAGGACAAACTCTGAAAGGTATAAACATATAGCAATGTGAAACAGAGATTTTTAGTCTCAAATGTATACAAAGACAAGATTACTTTGTTTTGTGAAAGAGTACAAAATAACTGATCAGGAACCTGACCCGTAGAAAGATTGTCAGTGGTGAATGAGAAGTTGTAATTGTCAGTGAAAATTTGTGTTAATCAAGTTTCAAGCTTATTTAAGTTGGTGGAAAGGATAATTTCTTATGTCAAACGTAGCATCTTTTGAAAAACAATTTAATAATTACACATTCACCATTCTGTTAATTACTCCTACAATATGTTTTAGACTTGTGACCTGTATGCATGTTCTTAGAATTATGTTTGGATGTGTATTTTACATAACTATGAAGCCTGACTCCTTACTTATGTTTTTTGAAGAGGATGGAAAAGTGTTTTGCTGGGGCTGGAACAAGTATGGCCAGGTACTCATGAGCAATCACAATCAATCATCTAATTTGGCAAGCATCTGGAATGACATTGGATTAATTTCGTTTCTGTGATTCATATCATGCTAAATAAGCCTCCATTGTTGTTTATAATGTTTACCATGCACTATAATTTATAGGGAATTCAGGTTCACATAACTATGTTCCAATGTTGTGGTGAACAGATAGCTGCAAAATGTCTGCAAATTTAAGAACATAATTGATTTAGTTAACATATGGGTTTGTGAAACAGCTTGGCTTGGGTGATGTGATTGACCGCAACATTCCTTCTCAAGTTAACACTGATGGCTGTGTCCCTAAAAATGTAGCATGTGGCTGGTGGCATACCCTCCTTCTGGCCGAGTCACCTACTTGAGTAGCCGATTTTGACAAGCCTTGGCGCAGTTTTGTTAGGTTAGAAGTTCTTTAAGACAGCTGATATATCATTAAGATCTATGTATAGCTACTTCCGGAAGCTTGTATGCGTACACATTTCCTCGCTCTCATTCTTGCATGGCTCAGGTTCGTGTGTACACATATGCTCGCTCTCATTCTTTCGTGGCTCAGGTTCACCACAGTTACCTCTATCTTTTGAAACTATTAGAATGACATATTGCTTTCAAGATGTAGAACATGATCAAGCTAGGTCCCTTGTGTATATTTTATTTAGCAGAATTTGAACATTATACTGTACTCAATGCCATGAAAAGTCTAGTATTGTTGTGTATAAAGGGTTATGGAGTTTGGTCACTTATCCAAGCTTTGGTATTGTGCTTCTCTCGCATGTTACGGTTTCGTACACCAGCACCCAAGGGAAGGGGAAAAGGTGCATGCTGTTTGGATACCCAATAACGAACGAGTTGCGGCATTTCCTTTTCTCGTGATCTTAAAAGTTAAAAGTGGCATGTGACTTGTGATTTTCCACGTGCCATTGCCCTTTGCGATGTAAAATTTGAACATGGACACCAGACGTGAAAAGTTCCCGTGGGGATGGAAGCTGATGGAACGTTCTTAAAAATACAAAAACACTTGATAAGAAACTTTCGAAGTGAATCCACTCGTTAACGGTGCTTGCTTATTATTTAACAGCGAAGTGCAATGAAACTTTTTCAAAGCTTCAGGGTGTATATTAAAAGATTTGGAACTAATAGAAAAACCAAAATAAAATAATCTGAAAATCTACATTAGGTATTGTATACAGTTTACGGTGAAAAAATGTCGCCCTTGCAGAAACTTGCTGCTGCGTTTCATATTAGAGGGATGGACAAATCATAAACCTTTTGTTTTTACTACGACGAATTCAAGCTTACATCTTTCAGACGTCGGTCATACAAGCTTACTTACTTGACGCAATTGTTAATTAAAACGAGATCCTTGTGTATGATTGTCTATAAACGATGGGGAGTAAATTATAAATTAGTTCTATTAGCTGTGCAAAATGAATTAAATTATCTTTTTTGTTTTAAAAATTAATTCATTAATTTAATATTATTTTATTTCAAAAAATATCTTATTTTTCATGAATCTTTTCATCATTTTTTTTTGCTTATTTTTCTCTTTTTTATTTATTAAAAAGAAAATAAATTAAAAAAGAAAAAAAGATTAAGTTATAAATAGATTTAAAAATATAGAAAATAATTAATTACTTATTGAAACTAAAGGGACAATTTAATTCCTTAAACTAGAGAGACTAAATTATAATTTACTCAATTAGGGAGGATGGTTCTTATACATTTGCTAATGAGATATTTGAGTATAATTTTATAAAGGTTTATTGTACCAAAAAATTATAAATTTTATATTTTTTAATTACATTAACATGTTTTTTAATGTTAGACAGAAAAGATAAAAATTAAGTTTTTAATGATTATATTTATACGTGTGATTTTTTTTTATTTAATTTTTATTTTCAATTGACATGATATGATATGAAAGATAGGATGATAATTTTACATAGAGTCACACATAAGACATAAATTTTATACTTTTTAATCATATTAATATATTTTTTAATATTGAACGAAAAAAACGTAAATTAATATTTTGATAATCTTATTAGCATGCGTGAGTTTTGTAGTTTAAATTTCACTTTTCACTGATGTGGTATGAGAGATACGGTAACGTTATAATATAAATGTCACGTGAGATTCCACGTAGCCTATTTGACAAATTTACTTTCCAAAATATTCTCCCCTTCACCAAAAATCTGACAGCCACTGAGCCACCCCTTGGCACAACCCGTCTGTCGATCACAGTCCCTCTTCGCGACCACAATTGGCAACCACTTCCCTCATCAAAGCCCTAGCTCACAATCATCATTCTTTCCTCTCCACCCTATTGTCGCCGCTCAACAAACCCTTGTCGCTGTAACAATTCGGTCGCTCATTGCCACTCTCTACAACCACTCTTTGCTGCCAACCTTTGGCCATCCATAACAACCATTCTCCCATAACCCTCCGTCACTATCCAACAGTCATCTTCCTCACTCGAAACTCTCACCATCACTGCAACCCTTCTAGCCATGGTTCATTACCAACCTCTAGCCCATTATTGTAGCTTCACACTCTATTAAGCTGTTGATCTCCCTCAAATCAAAAGTTAAAGCCCTTCTCGCTCTTTGTCGAAACTAGCCTTAGCAACCATCATCTTCAACATGCCGCAAGCCCACTATCCTGATCTCATCTTTTTTAGCCACCATTTCATCTCTTTTGTCGGTCTACCATTCTTCACTACCATACTAACTATTATCTTTGCCACTCTCCACTGCCAAAAAACATCGATCTTCTTTTCGATCAAAATCAAACCCACCATCAAAACTCCGTCTTGTCGGTTCTCTCTCCATCGAGAATAGCCACCTCTCAACAATCACACCATCTCAAAAAACCATGACTACCATCAATCCTTCTTTGCCAAATAGGCACACCACCTCAAAAATCACTATTACCATACTAACCCGCAACTCTTCGATACCACCACAACCACATATGATTTTTCCAATAGGTTATGCGGAATCCTACATGGCATTTATTTCAAGTTGCCATCCTATGTCCTAGATCATGTCAGCTAAAAATGAAATTTAAGTTGCAATAATTCATGTGCTGGTATAATCTTTAGAAATTTAGTTCATATTTTTTCTGTACACCACTAAAAGAAGATGCTAATATGATTAAAAAGCATAATGTTTATAATTTTTTTTTTTTTTTGGGTATAATTATTATAATAAGCCTTCCACGAATTTTTATCTCACCTCTCAACCACTACCTGTATGAAAATCTGTGTGACAGTTTAATGCCAAATCAAACAAAATATTCTAGAACAAAATGTCGACGGGGGTACTTCGGAACTTGCAGGGCATTCTTTTCACGGGATCAATAGGAAGCAAGCCCAAATCGAAGTCTTGAAGTCTCTCTCAAAATATAGTTTCTAGTTAGTGGTATGGGTGTTCACCACCAACCACGAAGCTTCTTATCTATCTCTATTGGACTCAATGCATACATTAATTGTCTGGCAAGGTTTGTTGGCAAATAGCAGGTGTACGTTGACATAATGGCTATTGTTTGAAGAAGACTTTGAAGTCTTATAATCTTCTAGATGAGACCGTATAGCGCTAATTTGGTCAAACTTTCAGTGTGGAGTATTTCCTTTTTATATATATTAGGCAAAAACAAAATAGAAAAAATGAATGGCAACATTTTATGCTGGAATTGCTAAAAAATCCCCACTTTAATGTGGTTAACTGATGAGGTTTGCTTGGTGTAGATACCTCTACTTTTTCGGGAAGGCATGCAGGAAAGGAATAAGAGAATTCATGGCAGCGACTGCTGATATAATAATTCTATATACGCTGGTGAAGCAAGTAACTCAATTTGTCCACCTCAAGACTTTGTAGTACAAATATCATGAGAGAAGCTGTTGGTAATTCTAATCTTACGGACATTTGGAGCAGATTGGATTTTTTTTTATCAAATTTGACTGATTGTTAACAGTTCTTTTAAGGGTCTTTGTGTCACGAAAGAATGGATCAGGAGAGAGTGGAGACACGTTAATCCTTCAATCTAATTTTTTCACTAACAAGGAAACATCCAAATTGGAAGATTCAAATATGATAAAGGAGGCAGGGTAAAAAGGATCCTTTCAATCCTTCTAGCTTGCCTAACAAAGAAAACACTTTCATCTTTCATTTCTAATCTATCTTTTCTTTAATCTCTTCTACCAAATACACAAATATACCTTGCTCCAAAGTTCCAAGGGATTATTTCTCCTTGTTCTGTAGTACGAGTTAATGAATTAAAATAAATCCACTCATAGTAGAGAAAAAACTCGAATCCAATCGTGACAGAAAACAGAATTACCTTTTTTTTATTTCCATATATATATATATATATATATATATATATATATATATATATACATATATATATATGTATGTAGCGTTGGGCCAAACTCAAAAGCCACCAATTTCTCATGAACATTTTCTAATGTCATGTCAAGTTGAAATTATTGATTATACGTGCTGCTGATTTTTACGAAAATGACCGGAGACCAAATGTGTCTGTATACATATATATATATATCCTTGCTCCTGGGCCAATTCCAAATCACTATTGCAATATGGCTAACATTGACAAAATGGACCGACGCATCTGTCAACTACCATGTATACAAACCCCACTCGATGGCAAATGGACCGAAATAATTTCATTACAGCAATTTAAATTTGCCCATCCTCGCATTTTCATTATAGCTTGAGGTTTTGGAATAAGAGACATCTTCACTAAAACTTTCTCATAAAGCAAATGCACCAAAAGAATTTTGGGAGCCTACAACTTTCTCATAAAGCAAATGCACCAAAAGAATTTTGGGAGCCTACAATTGAATTACCACTCTAATTATAATGCGCAAATGACATTAGGATTGAATCCTACATGGATTGAAGATATTTCAACCTATCTAGATTTGTCCTTAAAAAAATAAAAATAAAAATAAAAATTTGAGAGATTTGTTTGATGGTCAATTTTTTTTTAATGTTCAAATTAATCCTAATTAAAGCCAATATTCAAAAGAATTTATTTAATTCTTTTAAATACTTAACATCAATATAAAAGAAGTGTTTTTAAAATCATTCAAAAAAAAAAAACTTAATACAAACTGATTCGAAAATAATTTTATCATCAAATAAAAAAAAATTGTTTCGTTCCATTTCAAGAAAAATATTCTCGAGAAAACTAGTGCAATTGTGCCAATCGTAGAGTAAAAGTACAAATTGATCTCTTTAGTTTTAAAAATTAAATTGATTAATCTCTTTTTTTGAAAAAATGCACATGTAATTATTTAATTAGTGTTGATCACATATAATTTAATATTATTTTATTTTAT